AACTGATGTTAGTATTGAATTGAGAAAAGTGATCACAAAAAAGCAAAGGGAATTTGATCCCCAATTATTGATTGGCTAGGAACAGAGGAGTTTAATTTTTTTCCCCCCTTGAAGCAATCCCCTGTAGTTTAATCTACTTTCTTTAATTTTGAAGGAGATGGACGAACACATGCGGAGCATGTTGCATCACAGGGAACTTGAGAACCTGAAGGGCAGGTATGGGAACAGCTGTCTTCCATAAATTTGTGAATGGAGGTACAAACTGATTGTCCTTGTCAGTTTATTTTATAGTAACTCATCGGAATGAATGTTGTCTTATGACATAGAACAGTCATTTAGAATTAATAACTAGTAAGTTTTTGGCATTCAGAAGTGATCAATCCCGATACATGTATAGAATTCGTCTCACATGTATAGAATTCACAGCAGGCCTGGAAAGTAGGTTATGATAAAGGTGAGTTGAGAGGACCTAACTCTGTCATTAGTAAGCTGTCTCATTTCTACACAACAGCCAAACAACTAGGGTATCTTACGTTTTTGCTTTAAAAATATTACAGATTATTGGATACCATAAATCTGTATGTTGCTAAAATAGTGTGAGAAATTCAGACTGCTTTGCACTCACTCTCATTAGTATAGACAAATCGAATTACAAAAAAAGTCTAATTACAGACCTTAAATGTACTTGAGGATACTCTTTTGAAGATTGAAATATTTAAGGGAAGAAAATCTAATAAGTAGCTTTAAAAAGGAAATGTAACATATTGTATTTTCTGTCAATAGCTTTTTTTTATGTTTCTCACTTATGTGAATTTGAAGTTTAAAGATTGGATAAACAGAAAGGCATTGGGAAATTAAGAAATATGAATTACGTTTTATTTCGCGAATAATAGTTAAAAATTTTGATCAGAAAGTCACCATCAGTCTTTGGCATTTTTGTTTGCTTTCTGTTTGTTTTGAGATAGTGTCTCACTATGTAGCTCAGGTTGTCCTTGAACTCACTACGTAGCCCAGGATGACCTTGAACTCATGGTAAGGTAATCCTTCTGCCTCAGCCTTCGCATTGCTGGGATTGTATGTTTGTACCACCACACGTTGCTCTTGCCAGGCAGGTTCTGTGCTGCTGAGCTAAATTCTGTCTTAAAGGAGAGTTCAGACTACCTCCTACCCAGACTTTTACCTGTGTATTTACAATTGCACATAGAGGAACATTAAAAGTATTTGAGCTGCTAATATAAACGTCAGCTTTTATACTCTAATTCATTTTGTGTGAAGGAGAGCATTTTATTATTAATTTGTTAGACACAGTGCTAAGTTTTTTGTTGTTGTTGTTGTTTTTAAATTTTTTGTTACTGGGAATCAAACTCAGGGCTTTGTGCTTGACAGTCAGGCACTGTACCACTGAGCTATATCCCCAGCCCGAACAAGTTTTATATGATTTTTCTGGCCTGTGAAAAATTTGAAGGGAAACTAGGTACGGTGGCTCACATCTGTAATTTCAGCACTCTAGGAAGCTGAGGTAGAAGGATCATGAGTTTGAGCCTATCCTGGGCAACTTATTAACTTAGTAAGTCCCTGTGTCAACACTAAAAATAAAGCAAAGGATGGAGTTGTAGTTCAGTGTGAAGGCCCTAGGTTCAATCACCAGTATCATCAAAAATAAGAAATACTGTAAAAGTGGAGATGGGAAATAGCATACATAGCAAGAAAAATATCTGACAAAATTGTATTTAAGAAATAAGCACACAAAATTATATATTGGTTTTGAACATTACTGTAGGGATAAAGAATCATCCAGTCATTCCTTGTTTCTGTTTTCCTCAGTTTGTGATTATTTCTTCTGGATATCATGTTTAATGATGGATTTTCGAATGTTAAGACTTTATGTTTGTAGTTGTATCTATAATTTGTGGTTGTGATTTTGTGAGGAATTGTAAACTACTTACTTTTTAAGCTTTGAATGCAAACCTGACTGAAAAATAAGTAACTGACCCTCTTTGGTTCACAGTTAGGAACATCTGTAACACTTCCGTATTTTTTCCTAATAATACATTTATTCAGATGTGTGGTCTCTAAGTAGTTTCTTCAGATAGATGGAGTTAAGGAGACTCAAACCTTTATTTATCATGCAGCTGTTGTGGTGTAGTTAGAGCAAGCTTAATAAAGAAAAGCTTATGCAGAGAATATCTAAGACTGCCTTTCACACGAGAGGAAATTGTGTGGTAACAGGATGAAGCTAATTTGGGCCATTCAAGCAGCTTGAGGAAAATTATTACCTTACTTGGTAAGACATGAAAGCAGCACATTTTTCTTTAATCATTTTATGCACTTATATAGGATATTTAAACTGGTTATTAATAAAAGATTTGATAAGTGACATCAATAAATATTTAGTTTACTATTAACTTTTTAAAACATATGGCTTCCCATATACGTATGGAAGCATGATTGCCTGTTGTATATAGAGAAGAGGTTATATGGTTGAAATTAAAATCTGCGTATTTCGTACTATATTTCTTAACATTTTAAAGGGTCACTATGACCTTTCAGGTGTCTTTTTTTTTTTTTTGTGGAACTCAGGATTGAATCTATATTCTCCTGCATGCTAATCAAGTTCTGTACCACTGAATTATAGTTGCACCTCTATTCCATTTTTATGTATTTATTTGTGATTGTTTTGAGATAGACCCTTGCTATGCAGTTCAGGCTGGTGTGTTAATCTTGCTACAGTATATAGCTCATGCTGGCCTTGAACTCCCGGTGACCCTACCTCCTCAGCCTTTTGATTGCTGGGATTATAGGCATGTACCATCAATTTCAGCAATCTTTAGAGAGAGAGAGAGAGAGAGAGAGATCTTGGTGATTTGAACAGGAGAAAATTTCTCTTTTTTTTTTTTTCCTTTTTAAATTTTTTTTAATTTTTTGTCTTTTCCCTTTTTATCGGTACCAGGGATCGAACTCACGACCGCCTGCTTGCAAGGCAGGTGCTTATGCCGCTGAGCTAAATCCCCAGCCCCTTTTTTTCCTTTTTAAGACAGGATTTCACTGTGTAGTTTAAGCTGGCCTTGAACTCACTAGGTAGCCCAGGTATCCTGGAGCTTGGAGCAGCCCTCCCACCCCCTAGCCTTCTGAGTGCTGGGATTATAGACATGCACCATGCATTTTAGAAATAAAGATAAAATCAGGAATTTTATTTGAGAGTCTTTTAGGGGTTGTACTAAAGTTCCCAGCAGAATGGTGTTACTAATAGTACTGTAATAATAGAGTTTGGCATTATATGAGTTCTTAAGTAGAAAACATGATTTTAAGGAGTGTAAAGACAAAAACATTTTTCCACTGGAACATTAAGTTGATTTGAATTCCTATTGTAGTGTAAATTAGTTATGCTGCCTATTGTGGATCAATTTATATATTTAACTGTTGCTGTGAGAAACACCGTATTTTCTACTGCAAGTTAATGTTCACTTAGGATAAACTACCATCAATTTATTTACTACCCTTGGAAAGCTGGGAAAAGTTGAAGATTATTTTTCAAGTATATATGTGTAGTAAATATAGTTGTAAACTCTCAGTAAAAATAATGTGTTGAAGTACCTGTGGGATTTGAAGGAATTAGGATTTGAAGGAATTGATATTCAGAGTAATCAGGTATTGACTTTTTTTTAGGGAAACTGGTCACAGCTCCTTGAAATGAATCTTTAAAATACCAACAGTTGAGTTTGACTTAAGAGTCCCCCCAAAAGGTGAACACTTATAACATTTCTCCATATTTCTCTTCTCTGTGATGCTTACAAAGTAAAAAATTATTGTATCTGTGTGTGATGTTTTTTTATTGTGCTGAGGATCTTATGTTATGCAAGTGCCCTACTATTGAGCTGCACCCCTTAAGTATTGTTCTTATAGTTGGCCATGGTGGCTCATGCCTGTAATCCCAGCACTCAGAAGGCGGAGGCAGGAGGATCATTGTGAGTTGGAGGCCAGCCTGGGCTATGTAGTGAGTTCAAGGTCAGCCTGAACTACATAGTGAGACCTTGTCTCCCCCCGCACCCCCCAAAAAATTATTGTAAACTTACTGAGCATTGTTCATATGTTTATACTTTGCCATCCTGGGTGATCCTGGTGCCTCACGTATAGGAGTTGCTTACTAAGGTGGTTTTTGATTTCTGGTTTTAAATGAACATTTAGGTGATCTATAACAGAAAGTGTCTTCTAGTAAATGAAATGCTCTGTTTCAAGTTTCTTTTTGGTTTAATCAATATAAATTCTGCCCATGTTCTTGGTAGGTGCATATGAGAAGGTGGTGAGAGGTGCTCATGAGTGTGTTTCTGTCTGACCAAAGACAGCATGTGTTTTTATTTTTTTTAATAGATTGATATAGGAAGTACAAAAATATAACTAGTATAAACTCAAGACACATGATATGGGATCAAGCCAGTTTGGATTATTGACTGGATACTACCACCCTACCACCCTGTAGCCATGGCATTCAAATGTTTCTCATCAGTGACTACATAGACAGCTGACCCATCAAGGGATTTCATAGCAGAGAGCAGCAAAATAGTTGATCTCTTATAGACCTGAAGTAGATTGTAAGACTTTAGCTTAAGACTGGTCAAGTATGAATTTCACCATTAAGTGTGTCAAGCAAATGAAAAAAAAGTCTGCACAGTTTAAATACAAACCTATTCTGCTTCTCTCTGAACTGTAGTGTTTTCTGAAATTTGAGAAAAAACATTTGCCTAACACAGCTGTTAACGTCCCACAACTGAAATGCTTTCCATTCCCGTTAAAATAAGCCCTTCTGAAGCGGAGCATAGGTCACATGTATCATCCAGATCAAAAAAGCTGCTGAGGATGACTCCTATCAGAATCTCCACATTCCAGGCAGAGTGCCAGCTATTCAGATTTAGCTACCTGTTGGGATTGGCTGCGCCATCTACCCGTTTCTCCACCCCTTAATTTTGACTGGACGAACTCTCCAGAGCAGGAGGTTAAAATTCAAGCGCTGTCGCCAGGCTCTCTGAGTGCAGCTGGCACCATGGGTGTGCTCCAGGGCAACTTGTGTTTGCTCTGAGCCCCCTGCCCTGCCTCCCCTTTCACCACGTTTCCTCTGGCAAGATCTTAAATACAGCAATTCAAGAAGATCTCTCCTCCTAAAGCACATTAATCTGAAGTGTATTGCCTCTTGAATGCTGGAAAAGAATATAAAATTCATTTCAAAAATAACTTACAAATCTATTAAAAGTGATGAAAGGAGTCTTAAAATTGATGAACACTAATTTTCTACTGTGCGAAATTGTTCAGTGTCTTTCAGAGGAGACTGTAACATATCTCGTGAGTGTGCCATGCCAGTAGGGAGAATTGAATGTCCCTCATCTCCCTCTCTCCCTAGGGATAGTAGTCATGATTGCCGCGTGTGTGGAGTCACAATAGTGGGTCTCTCTGCATATGCAAAGCACATTTCTGGCCAGTTGCACAAAGATAATGTTGATGCCCAAGAAAGAGAAGAAGATGGAAAGGGAGAAGAAGAGGAAGAAGAGTATTTTGACAAGGAACTTGTTCAGTTAATAAAACAAAGGAAAGAACAAAGTCGGTAAGTAATGATTTTTTTAAATTCTTGACAGAACATAGTCCAGAATACATTTTTGTACCTTTCAGTCTATAGCATTTACACTTATCTTAGTTAAAAGTTTAGCCTGAGGTTGCAGTCTTCTGAGTAAAGAACAATGAAATGCTTTCTTGAATTGCTGTACTATTTGCTGTTAAAAAAAAAAAAAAGAAAGAAAAGAAAAGGCCCAGTAGTGTCCTGACATAAGCTAGCACTAGCTGTACGCCTGAAACTTTTGCCATATTGGTAATGATGTTCATACTCTTCCTACTGGTATTCAAATTTTATAGTGGAAAGCTATTAAATACCATTGAATAAATTACAATACTTACCTTCTGTGAATTAATGTGGTGCCTTTGGCAAATTTGATTTTTCTCTTTGTCTTTGAATCCCAGTGACTATCACAGTGCTTGGTTTACACTAAGTGCCTTTCTAACATATTATTGAATAAATTTATTTTAAATTTGACAATGTCAGAATCATTTGAGCAATACTTTTGATAGCTTGTACTGAATAATTATTTACCTACATTTATGTGTGTAAGTGTTAGGCATCATGTCTTTACTGATTCTGTATCCTAAAAAAGTTTTAACTAAAAAGGTAGAAAATTTCAGATATTAGTGAAAGGGAGAGAACCATATATTAGAAGTTTTTTGAACACGTTTTGAAGAAGACTTTCCTAGTTTTAAAATGTCATTAGTGACATGATTCTTGAATTCTTCAGTTGCTGAGTCCTTCAAATGACATTATTACTTTTAGTAAAGCTAGAGTTGATTCTTCTGTTTTAGGAATTTGGAGACTAACTTCTTAAATGCCTGTGCCATTATTAGTTTAAATGTATAAATGATTAAACACTAAGAGTAAGAAGCATTTTAGCAAATTAGACATTGATATACACTGTTACTGTTCTTTGAGTCTTTTGATATGCTTCTGTAATGACCTATATATAAAATCTTATTTGTTTTTGTGATGTTGTTGTCTCCCCCCCCCCTTTTTTTTGTACTGGGGATAGAACTCACAATCTCTGCCAGACAGGTACTTGTGCCACTGAGCTATATCCCTGGCCCTCTTTATGATTTTTAAAAATTTTCTTCTTTCCTTCATCAGTTTTTAAGTTATCCTGTAGTATTAGGGATTGAAACCAGGACATTGTGCAGGGTAACTAAGCCCAGTGCCATTGAGCTATATCCTGTCCTATTTTTAAATTTCGTGGGGTCTTGCTGTGTTGACCAGGCTTGCCTCAAATGTTTGACTCTTCTGCTTCAGCCTTCCAAGTAACTGGGGTGACAAGTGTTCATCACTGTATCTGGCTTCCTCCTGAGACTTTAACTTAGATTGTTGTTTTTAGGCTATGATTTAACTGAGTGCTGTTATATCCTCCATCTAGTCAGTTCATGGTGACCTAGGAATTCTGCTTTGTGATTTATTACAAGATTCTTTCCCCACTTCTGATCACATTCCCTTCATTTAGTATGGCTGAGTTTGTCATTCTCCTAGATGTTAAAAGTTACCTGCTGCTTAGAAATGAAATGAAAAAGCAGTTTGGTTGATGATGACCACTCCTAAAACAAAACTTGTTCGTGTATATAATACCACTCGTTCCTTGGAAACTTAAGGTCTCCTGCTGAGATGAGTTTTAATTTATAAAGTAAATAGATATTTAAAGTTTTCAAGTTAGATTAATTTTTAAGCCCATTTTATAAAAAAGGGAGAAATCCCAATTTGTGTCTAGAAGTTATTTCATAGGTATTATAAGCTTTTCAGACTAATTAAAGTAAATATGGAGTTTAAGATTTAGGTCAAGTTTAGAGAAACTTAACTGTGGAAACTTTTGTTTTGGGATTTTCATTTTGTAAAGTCCTTGTGGTTAGAAGTATAAATTTGAGTCAGATTGCCAAGGCTCAGTTTCTGCTCTATCAATTTGTCTTACTCTAGATAGGTTGCTTGATCTCGCTAATGATTAGTTTCCTTATGTAAAAATGTTAAAAATATTATTTGCCTCAAAACTAAAAATTATGTGATATAACCTATGTAAAATACTAGCTTACTTTAAATGCCTGATAGTAGATATTCTGTCACTTTTCACTAGTTCATTCAAGGTTTTGAGCACCTCCCATATGCTGAGCATTGTTTTGGGCAAACCATAGACAGTTTATAAAGGAAAAACTTTATTCTTGTTGCTGTGATGTTTACTTTAATTCACGCCTCTGTAGACTCTGTCTAACTTGAATAGTTCAAGCAGCTGAAGCTTCTTTATAAAAACCTCTAGCTCATGGGCTCCTTATAATACTTATTATGGTTACTACTTATTGCCGTGTGCTATTTTATTCCTGTGTGTGACCTTACTTATTTCCTCAGCTAGATTCTAAGGCCATCATGAACAGGAACTATGCCCAAAAGTTTTCTTATGTTACTAACAATAATTGAGTGACTGCTCAATAAAGATTTCATTAATGAAAGTAATCATGTATAGTATAAATTTACTATTCAAAAATGATTAAGAAACTAGATTATTAAAAAAACTTTCAACTGCACAAATCATATATTAAAAGTAGCTGAATGAACATAAAATTGTGTTAAAAATTAATCATAATTATGAAGTATACTTTTCCTATTTGGAAAAGTTGCATAATATAAAAATAATAGGAAAAAAATTCTAGAACATGAGCCAAGAAAATCAGAAAAATCCTCAGAAAGGAAAAATGGTACAAATGTGCCAGATTTTTAGTATTCTTAGGGTGATAAGGAAAATAATATATTGTTTAATTTTAAGTTAGGTGGGGAATGTAAATTTCCTTTTTTTTTTTTTTTTTTTTTTTTTTTTTGTCTTTTTCGTTTTTATCGGTACCAGGGATCGAACTCACGACGGCCTGCTTGCAAGGCAGGCGCTTATGCCGCTGAGCTAAATCCCCAGCCCCTGGGGAATGTAAATTTAAACATTATCTTTAAAGATATGAAAGCAATCACCATTATAGTAAAAATAGATTCTGTTACATAAAGCTTAGGAGAAAAGGGTGGAGGGCAAGTTTGGTGAGTTACGCCTTTTCAGGAGGCATAAGAATTTTTTTAAATCCATAATGAAAAATTGTTTTTCTTCCAGACAGGACAAATCTTCTAATAACAGCCAGGAAATAAACTCAGATGGCAGACAACCGCAGTGGAGGCGAGAAGATCGAATTTCTTACCAAGACAGGGAGACTTACAGTCAATCTGCAAGGCATCATCGTGGACCTCCACAGTGGGATTGGAAATGGGAAAAAGATAGCTTTACTAATAATAGGAAAAATAGCTTTTCACATTCTTTGAGGAATAGTAGTGGGCCAAGAGGATGTACTGGGTGGCATAATGGGATTACAAGAGGCTCCTCAACTTGGTTTCACAACCATAGTAATTCTGGAGGAGGTTGGCATCCAAATAATGGGATGGCGGATTGGAATTATAATGGTCCAGGAAGGAATTCCAGTTGGCATTCTGAAGGAACAGGTGGTTTTTCCAGTTGGCATATGAACAACAGCAACGGAAACTGGAAATCCAATGGACGTAATATAAATAGTTGGAATTACAGTGGCCCCGGAGACAAATTTCAATCAGGCAGAAACAGAAATTCTAACTATCAGATGGAAGATATGAATATACCGTGGAACAAGAAGTCTAATATGTCATGCAAATACAATCAAGAGAGATATAATTGGCAACAGCAAGATAATGACAAAATTGGTATGGTTGCAGCATACGGAAGTCCTTCTGAAGACTTTACTAGTGATAGATTTCCTTCAGAAGACTTACATGATTTCAATTTTGAGCAGCCAGAAAGCCAGACTACTAAACAGACAGAGAGTGCAGCTACCAAAACCGGTGGAAAGAATAGCAGCGTACCAAAGGAGAAGCTCCATCGCTGGACTCCATATCCTTCCCAGAAGACTCTGGATTCACAATCTGGATTGAAAGAAGTCACTGACAGTAAATCAGAAACAACAGATAAGCCTCTCTTTGATTTTAGCTTGATAACCGCAGGAATACAAGCACCTCTAATTGAGGAAATTAATAGTTCCCCAACACTAAAAACACAAAAAGAAATACATAATGGATCTCTTAATCACAAAGCCCCTTCTGACTGCCCTGCTTCCTGTGAGGTGGTGAGAGATTGTCCTGTTACAGATAACCCTAAGCAACGACATAACTCAAACAAGATGCCGTCCTTGAAATCCCCACTTCTTCCACTTCCGGCCACTAAATCTGTTTCTCAAAAACAAGATTCAAAGACTCCCTCAAAAAACACCAAAACAAATTCTTCTGCTGCAGAAAATTCAAATCCTTTGAACAAATCCACTTTAGAAGATAACCAAGGTTTTTCCTCCATGTCCAAATTACGTAGTTCATGTTCTAATGTTTTAAAAGCAAGTAAGATTGCATCTGGCACTCCAAAAGAATCTGATGTTAATTTAAGTGATACAATACAAAAAGCCAAAGAAGTGTTACAGTGTCATGAGTCATTGCAAGATCCACCTCTTAGCACTTCTAAAAGGACCAGGATCTATGCGAAAGCAAGTAGGAATGTAGAAGAGTCTGAAAAAGGATCTTTGAAGATTGAGTTTCAAGTGCAAGCATTAGAAGATGAAAGTGATGGAGAAACATCTGACACAGAAAATCGTAGAACAAAAATTGGAACCCTGGGTTCTGTAGCTACAGAGGTTTTATCCTGCAGCACTCATACTGTTGATGAGAAAGAAGGGGATGACCAGATCTTGAAAGTATCTAGAAAACTTTCTTCCACCTCATGTAATTCCACAGTTCATGAAAAAGAATCGGAGTTACAAATGCCATCTGCAGCCAGTCCACACTCTGGTTTATTACTAGATTTGAAAACTTCTCTAGAAGATGGCCAGGGTGATAACCCTGTTAAATCTCACATATCTTATGAAACAGAAGCCTTTGAGAATACTAGCTTGGAAGGAGAACTTCACAAAAGTGATATCAGTCAGCCTTCCAGTTCTCTCCTGCCCGAACTAAGTAAGCTTGGCTTTCCTGCCTCACTCCAAAGAGATCTAACCCGGCACATTAGTTTAAAGAACAAAACTGGAGCACACCTTCCTGAGCCAAACCTTAATAGTGCTCGCCGCATTCGCAATATTAGTGGTCATCGAAAGAGCGAAACAGAGAAAGAATCTGGGCTCAAGCCAACCCTACGACAGATTCTAAATGCATCTCGGAGAAACGTCAACTGGGAGCAGGTCATTCAGCAAGTAACCAGGAAAAAGCAAGAACTGGGCAAAGGCTTACCCAGGTGTGTGCCTCTTTTCAGTATCTATCTTGTTTTCATTCAAAGTTACCTCTTGACCTTGGTGAAGAGAATTCTACTTGTTTCATTTAAATGTTTGCCAAAAATAGCCAGTGTAAATATCTGATTTAATTGTCAAATACTGAGTAATGCTGTGTGACCAATAGAGTTCAGTCTTTCCTAGCAGAAAATGCAGTTAAAATGGAAATATACTTTCTTCTGAGTAACTAGAGAGGCACAAGGAGAAAAATCATCATTCTAATTTACTTCTTTTTCTTTCTTTTTTTTTTTTTGGTGGTACCGGGGATTGAACTCATGACTTTGTACTTGCCAGGCAGGCACTTATGCTGCTGAGCTAAATCCCCAGCCCCGTTTTCCTTGGTTTTTGAGACAGGGTCTTGCTATGCAGTTCAGGCTGGCTTTAAACTTAACTTTGTAGTCCAGGCTGGCCTCCGATTTACAGCAATCCTCTTACCTCAGCCTCCCAAGTGCTGGATTACAGGCTTATTGCTCTAATTTCAAGAGGCTAGAAAGTAACAGCATGGAAATGTATGTCCAGAAATCGGTATCTTTGTTTAGATCATAATGCTATAGTACAACTGTTTTAGTATTTTAGGTACAACTATTAATACCTTCTGCTTAGAACCTATGGATAGTTACTTTTCTATATGTACTCTGGGCATTATTCTTAGGATCACAAAATGCTTTCTCTTCAAGACTGGTGATATTTTGGGTATTCATTTCAAGTCAAGTATTAGACTTTTTTTTTGAATGATAAAGCAATGTGCATGATAGGTTTACTACTTGAGAATCATAATTTTGCAGTATTACACATTTATCCATGCTTAGGGCCATTTTTGTCCTCATTGAAATAATGGATTTATTTTGTTTCATTTTTTAAATTTTTCCATACTTTGTGGGTAGTACTCAAGATTAATTACTCAGCCTCAGTACTGTCCCTGCACTTGTGAATATTTACTTTAAAAAGTTTTTGTTTGCTTTGATTTGCTTTTAAAACTGATGTATTTATTGTAAATTCTTAGCTTCATTTGAAATAAAACTCAATTTTTATTCCATTTGTATTCTCATAGCTGTAATCAAGTCTTTAATTTAGCACTTGTGGCATTTTATTATGTATAACAATGTTTACTTTGTAAACACTTGCCTATCAAACTGAAGTACCGTAAGGCAGAAAGCATCTCATTCGCATACATGCTTAGCAGAGCCTGACACATTCAGTAGTACTTCTCCCCTGACCAGGGCTGATTTTTGTCTTTTCTTTCTTTTATTAAGGTTTGGCATAGAAATGGTACCTCTGGTTCAGAACGAACAAGAGGTCTTGGATTTGGATGGGGAGCCTGATCTGTCTAGTCTTGAAGGGTTCCAGTGGGAAGCTGTTTCCATTTCTTCATCCTCTGGGTTGGCCAGAAAGCGAAGCCTTTCTGAGAGCAGTGTGATCATGGACAGGGCTCCTGTGTATAGCTTCTTCAGCGAAGAAGGTACTGGCAAAGAAAATGAGCCCCAGCAGATTGTTTCACCTAGTAACTCACTGGGTGTTACACAGCATCAGAAAACAACACTGTGCCTTAAACAGGAAGCAGCACCTCTGGCCATCTCCTTCAGAACACACGAAAAAGCTGAAAACTTTGCTATCCAAAGGCGACATAGTACACAATTGCCATCTGATCATATGATACCTTTGATGCATTCAGCAAAAGATATGAATAGCCAGGAGTGTTCTCCATCGCCATTCAAGACTCACAATGCTCAGGAGAGCACTGGAGAAGGAAGCAGTCTGTCATCAAATGTGTCCTCAGTCCTTGCAATCTCCTGCTTAGCAGATGCAGCCACAGATAGTAGCTGTACCTCTGGTGCTGAGCAAAATGATGGCCAGAGTATTAGAAAGAAGCGAAGAGCCACTGGAGTGAGTATGATTTTTCTGTTTTGTTTTTTAATAGAACATCTTATGTAGTGACTTGTTTATAATAAAGGCTTAACTGTTTGATTTTTCCCACTAGTTGGGATTGTGGTTCTATCTACTCTGGAATAGAGTTGTGAGGCTCTTTCATCCTACTGGTTTCTTTTACTGAGTAGTTCTGCTAAATTAGATGTAATGTAATATGAATGTACAATACCAGGAAAATATGAAGTCATGTCTAAAACCAGTCTCCAACCCAGTGACTCTATCACTTGACCAAGGATAAGTTAAAACTTTAGCTGTAACTTAATCTGTTTTCGTAGATGCACTCTGTACTGCTTCTTAGGAAAGGCATTCTACTGTTGGATTTGTAGGGCTTGTATAAATGTTGCATTCAAGACTGTGAGATTTAATATTAAAGTGGTTTGATATTACTAAAGTGCATATATATGCATAATATAGAAAAAAATTTAGTCTCTCTCTCTCTCTTTTTTTTTTTTTTTTTTTAACAGTACTGGAGGTTGAACCAGGGCCTAGTACATCTAGAAAAGTACTGTGCCACTGAGTTACCACCAGCCCCCAGCCATTTTTATTTTATTTGGAGACAGGAACCTACTAAGTTGCCCAACCTTGGCCTTGAACTTGCGGTCTTCTTGTCTTGGTCTCCCAAGTACCAGGTGCTGGGATTACAAGGCACCACCAAATAGTCTCATCTTTACTTTGTTTCATTTTTTGGTGTTTGAACCCAGGAAGCACTGACCTACATCTCCAACCCCTCTCCCTTTTTTCTTTTTTGCTACTAGAAATCGAACTCAAGGCCTTGTACTTACAGGCAGGTGCTGCACCACTGTGTTACATTCCTGGTTTGCCCAGCCCATTTTTATTTTATTCTGAGACAGGCTCTTAACTAAGTTGTCTTAGCAGAGCTTGAGTTTGTGATTCTCCCCTTCAGCCTCCCAAGGAGCTAGGATTATAGGCATGTACTACCATAGCTGGCCTTGTCTGTCCGTCTGTCTCCATCTATCTATCTGTCTATCTATCTTAGCTATCTTAGCTATTTGTCTATTGTCTTTATAAGTCTATCTTTTGTCCTTCAGTTGCCTAGACTGGCCCTAAGTCGTCTTCTTCATTGATACCAATTTTGCTTTTCTGGCATTCTTGTCACACTAATTGCTTAACCCTCTCAGGATTTCTCTTTAAAAAGCAAATTACTGGAAGTGGTACAGGCTGGAATTTGGCCCTGTGAAAAAATGAACTTGTTAAAGCAAAGCAGTGTGTGGGTGTTGTGATATATTCCTGTAATGTCAGCACTCTGGGAGGCTGAAGTAAGAACCAAGCCTAGGCAATTTAGTGAGACCCTGTCTCAAAATTTTAAAAAAGTTGGAGATATAGCTCAGTGTGAAGAATCCAGTTCCCCAACTCCAAATCCCCAGTACTAGAAAACAAAAACAAAAAATTTTAAGAAATAAAATGACATAAACAGTAGTTAGTATAGTGAGTTTTAGACTCATTTCAAATTTCAGCTCTGTTACTTTCAACTAGACACTATGTGGCCAGGCATAATAGCGCATGCCTGTAATCCCAGCGTATGGGAGGCGGAGGAGGAAAATCACTGAGTTTGATTGAGGCCAGCCTGGGCTGCATAGTGAGATTCAGTCTTTTTTTTTTTTTTTTTTTTTTTATCCAGTCTTAAAAAACAAAAACAGCTAGACCCTCTATAGGAAATATTTATTAGATGATTTGAAATACATTTGAAGCTTGAGATTATCTTTCAACAAAGTTATTATCTTGAGATTTGTCTCATAGATGGTTTAGCTTGTTGTAAAGATTTTCTTGGTGAAATTCAAAATAGAAACACGCCAAATACGATGAGAATTGCAAGTTCATTTACTATTCAGTGATACATACAAGTTCAAAGCCAGCCTGGACTACCTAATGAGACTCTGAAAAACCAAACACAAAGTAGAGACTATACCAAGATAAACTTTGTATATGTTAATGAACTATCAGTGCTCTCATCTATGGAATGCTTTGCCTAAGTCTCATTAACTTTTATTACCTGTAGGATGCTCGGAGATATCTGATTTTAGATTCTGTGTGTGTTTTAATACTTTTTTTTTTTTTTTTGAGATAGGGTCTTGCTATGCAGTTCAGACTGGCCTTGAGCTCACTTTGTAACCCAGGCTGGTCTCGAACTCGTAAAGATCCTCCCACCTCAGCCTCCCAAGTGCTGGGATTACAGAAGTGAGCCACCATGCCCAGCACTTTAATACATTCTTTTAACTGCTTTTTGAGTTGGGCGTGAGACTTCTATTATCTTAGATGGTGGCAGTAGTGAAGGACAATGTTTGACTATCTTAGAATTCATTGTTTTTGCTTTCTTGGATAGTGACCTTTAACACTTAATACTATTAAAATTTCTTCATTTTCTTAGGATGGATCTTCTCCTGAACTCCCAAGTCTTGAGAGAAAAAATAAAAGAAGAAAAATTAAAGGAAAGAAAGGTATGGTACAGAATATTCTGGCAGAAAACTGTTGTTGTTATAGTACTTCAGCCTTTTGGATAATTCATTCTTTTTTGGGGGGGTGGATACTGGGGATTGAACTCATGACCTCGTGCTTACCAGGCAGGCGCTTACACCACTGAGCTAAATCCTAAGCCAACGTCAGCCTTTTTACAGCTTCATGCAGCACAGCAGTGGTCATCAAAACACCAATCATCCATTTATTATTTATTAGACAATATTGCCTTGCTAAAGAGTAAATTAGATTCCCTCCTTCACCCATTTACAGCTAGAAAGGACATATGACCTGAAAGCTAAGGCTTTGTATCTTAGTATGAACCAGAAGTCTCACTGGGCCTCTTCCTTGGCATGAAAAGAAAAAAAAAAAAAGAAACTGTTGACTTATTAAAAACATTGTATCTCTTGACCATTAATAGCGTTTCTCTTGTTTTTTAGCATCTTGGTTGCTTTGCTGATGTGAATGAAAGAGAAACTTGTATTATCATTGTCTCCCCCCCCCCCCCATTGATAGGTTTCAGTGATTCTTGCTTTTCTGAAGGAAGTGATGGGTGAATATTGAGTGAGTGGGATAGATCAGGGAGAGTTCTGGGACAGCCCTAGTTTCTGGCTCAGACAACCCAGTAAATGATACCATTTATAGAGCCAGAAGACTCCAGATGGGAGCAGAATGAGAGTGGAACAAGATTGAGTTCCCTTGGGGCTGGGGATTTAGCTCAGCGGCATAAGTACCTGCCTTGTAAGCAGGCGGTCGTGAGTTCGATCCCCGGTACCGATAAAAAAAAGAAAAAAAAAAAAAAAAAAAAAAGATTGAGTTCCTTTTTGGATCCTTTGACCAAGTAGACTTTTGAGACATTTGGTAGGGGTATTACAATTAATAGTTGTGTGTGTGAATCTGGTGTTCAGGGAAGAGATCTCGGTGTATTGAGTTAGTGACAAACATAACAATGAGAAATACACATAATACAGCTTTTTAAATTAGTGAAATGTGGCTTATATTGTGAAATATGTTTTTGATTTTTTTAAAATTTTAAGCAGAAAAAATAAAATTTCAAAACAAAAGGAGAGTAACAATAGTTAATACATTATGTATTTTTATCTTTAAGTTAGTTGCTCAGAGTCTAAGATACAGAAATTTAATTGTCCAAACAATATTAGCACAAACCTTTCTTTTCAGTGAACTAAGAAAAATCAGGGTTATAACTGTCTTAACTATTATATATGTATTTGCTTTTCCCTTTCTTCTTTTTTCCTTTCCTTATCCCAGTTTCTCTTTTCTTTTGAACAGTTTCATCACATGTCACATTATCTATTGTACATTTTGGATCTAATTTACTCTTTCAGCTTCTCACACTATACAGTGTTTGCATATGTGAGTGATTTATTTCACTTCTGAGTATGGTCTCAAGTTGCATTCATTTACCTATAAATTCTCCAGTTTGTCTTTTTTTATGACTGAGTAGTACTCTATTATATAAAAAGTTGGTCTTTATTTTGTTTACAGGCATACAACTTTAATATCCTCAGGAGCTCTGAAAGACAGGCAGAATTGGAGACTTAGGATCCTCAGCTTCACCCTCTTTAACTTCCAGAGTGGGAAGGAGCTAAAGATTAAATTGATCACTGGTGTCCAGAGACTTAATCATTCATGCCTGTATAATGAAGTCTCCATGAAAACTCCAAAAGACAGGGTTTGGGGATATCAGATACTGAGCACATGAAGGTCCCTGAAGCATAGCACATCTGGAGAGGGCATAAGAAGCTCCACATCGCTTTCCATATACCTTGCATTACACATCTCTTCATCTGTGTCCTTTATAATAAACTAGTAAATATGGACATTTTCATATGTCATCCATTGCAGCAGATTAACTGAACTGAAGGAGTGGTTGCAGGAACTTTTAATTTATACCTATCAGAAACACAGCTGCCCCTAAATATGAGGTTAGTCTTGTGGTCAGAGTCCTAAACTTGTGGAATCTGATGCTGTCTTTTAAGTATATAGTGTCAGAATGATTTGGAGGACAGACAACTGGTGTCTACTGCAGAACGGATTGCTTATTTGATACATCTTGTTTGTTACACTTGATGTCATAAGTATCTGTGTTGTTAGTATCTAATAGGAGAAACAGTCTGTTTGGGTTTCTGTTGACACAATATCAAAGTTGTTTTTTCTTCAGAAAACCTTTTCCAATAAAGAAAACTATTCTTACTATAAAGCTACTAGAAGAATACATAGAGGGAATGCATCATTGGAATAGGCAAGGATTTCTTGGATAAGACCCCAAAAGCAAACCAGTTGAATATAATCCCAGCACTCAGGAGGCTGAGGTGGGAAGCTCAAGTTTGAGGCCAACATGGGTTATATAGTGAGTTCAAGGCCAGTCTAAACTATATTGCGAGCCTGTGTCTCAAAAAAACAAAAACAAAAAACCTCTAAAGCAAAATTCGTAAATAGGACTACATCAAACTAAAAAACTTCTTTATTTTTCAAAGAAACAATCAGAGAAAAAGACAGTGTTAACACATGGGGAAAACATCTGCAAACTATATATCTGACAAATGTTTCATGTCCAGAGTATGTAAGGAACTAAAAAGTGTTAGTGACAGAAACAGGCAATCTGACTAAAAAGTATTTGAAGTTAGCTGACACACTAAGAAGAATATGGTTTGGAAGAGTGCAAGTAGTCTGGACCTGCAACCAGTCTGAGCAGAAGCCCTGAGTGAAGTGGGTGGTAGATAATGGAACAGTGAGAGATGAAACTTAGAAGAGCTGATGTACCTAGACAGAGAGCTCACTTAGAGAGGTAAATGTGGGACCTGGAGGTTGGGTCAGACAAACGACTCCATCTACTTCCGTCTTTGGTTTCTAGCTTTGATGTCATTTGTGTTTCTCTTTTTAAAATTTATTTATTTATGGTTTGTTTATTTGTTGAGACAGAGTTTTACTAGGTAGCACAGGCTGGCATCAAATTAAAAATCCTCCTGCCTCAGCTAATATCATTAGTCTTGATCACACATTTTATTATGAGATTTGTTAAATTTAATTGACATTGAGAAAACAAAGGTTAATCCTAAGTCATTGGTGGACTTCAGTCTTCTGAACAGCCTTATGATTATAGGGAAATCTCTGATATTAAGCTTGACCTTAATCTTTCAGCAGAACGGTCTCAGGTTGACCAGCTATTGAATATCTCCTTAAGAGAGGAAGAACTAAGCAAATCCCTGCAGTGCATGGATAACAACCTCCTGCAAGCCCGGGCAGCTCTGCAGACTGCATATGTTGAAGTTCAGAGGCTACTCATGCTCAAGCAGCAGGTAACAGGCCAAGAATGGTTTAATAACAACAAATCATCTCAAAGTTACATTTTAGTATGCATAACCACATACTTTATTTTCAGATAACTATGGAGATGAATGCACTGAGGACCCATAGGATACAGATTCTACAGGGATTGCAAGGTATCCAGTGTCTGATGAACTTGTGCCCCACCCCGAACTTACTGCTTTTTGTTGTCTATAGAGAAGAAAAGTAGTCATGAAGCAGTCATGTAATTTATTTCATGTCTTTGTTTACAACTCCACAACTGTTGCTCTATTTAGCAACAAAGACAGTAGCTTTGTGTTAGGAATCTTAAGGCTTCTGTTCAAATTTTGACTCTTCTTTAGTATAACTAATGGTAACTTTGGGTCAGTTACTTAAAATTTGAAAAATTTGGTAGTGATTCTGTTTTGATGAATTATGAGAACATACATATATATTTATATATATTCATTTTTGCATTTGTGTGTGTATGTTTCCCATTCTAGAAACATATGAACCATCTGAGCACCCAGACCAGGCAGCCCATAACCTCACTGGAGATCAGAGGAACAACAGATCTCAGACATCTGCTGATACCACACTGCTACCTGCTCCTCTTTTTCCAGCTTTTCTGGAGCTGCCTCCTTCCCATGGGTGCTTATCACCTGCTGGAGCCCCTCTCCAAGTAACCGCATCTGCTACATTCCAAGCCCATGGCAGTATCCCTGCTCCAGATTCATCGGTTCAGGTTAAACAAGAGCCCATGTCTCCTGAACAGCATGAGAGTGTCAGTGCCATGTCACAAGGCTACGCTTGCAGTGTGCCCAAGGAATTATTGCAAGCTAATAGTAAGTAAACTTATTTATGGATTAAAAGCATGTCTGTAGTGAAATTAGAACAATTGCATATCAGTGTGTAAAGCCATACTTGCCCATTAAAACTAAAGTCATTACAATTAATTTTTCATTGAAATGTCCTTCACATGGGAGGGTAATTTATTTTCTTTCTTTCTTTCTTTCTTTCTTTCTTTCTTTCGTTCGTTCTTTCTTTCTTTCCTTCTTTCTTTTTTAAAAAGAGGGTCTTGTTATGTAGTTTGGGCTGACCTTGAACTCACTGTACAGCCCAGTTGCCTTGGACTCATGGTAATCCTCCATCTCACCCTCCCAAGTGCTTGGATTACAGGTATGTGCCACCATGCCTAGCTTAGACAGTTATTTTAAAATATTACAGAGAATATAATTTAAATGTCAGAAACTTTTCCCTAAGTTTTTCGAAGGTTATTGAGTTGACTTTGCATTAACATCTAAAAGTCTCTATTTATTAAAAAGGATGTAGAGTTGTAGGGTCTTTGTGATAATAGGCTAAAGTTGTTCAGGCAGTTTTCTAGCTAAGATACATGTCCTGAACTTCGCAGTACTTACCCTTCTTTTATCTCAAACGCAAGCCAGGACTGATACAAGTCTGAAGGGTAGGTAGCCATGGTAAAGAAAGGTACAGGTTCTGGGGTTTGAAGTCATCTAACAAGAACCTGGGTAGTTTTTTTTGGGAGGGGGGTAGTTTTAAGAAGTAGTCAAGGTGGGTTTTTTTAAAAACTCTTTTCATAAAACACTCACCTGGTTAGCATTTGAGAGTAACTTCTTAGCTATTCAAAATACTATTAGAAATTTTCATGATTATATGGTGGTGTTATTAGCTGGGCATGACATTCTAGGAGGCTGAGGTAGGAGGATTGCAAATTTGAGCCAGCTTGAGCAACTTAATAACTTACTGAGACTCTATCTCAAAATAAAAAAATAAAACAAGAACTGAGAGTGTAGCTCAATATAAAGGCCCTGGGTTCAATTCTCAGTATACACAGATATACACATACACACATACACAGTGCTATATGAAAAGTCAAAAAAACAAACTGGCTTTATATAATTTCTTGAGTGAAAACAAAAAGTCTGAAAAATTAGTTTAGTTTTTGCTGCCAATACTCTGTTGCAATACTAATGAACATACCAATATCAAATTTGTTTTTCCTTTGCAGTACTGGTGATCAATCTCAGGGTCCTCTGCCCCTGAATTATATCCTCACCCTTTCAAAAAAAATTTTTTTTTTTTTTTTTTTTGTATTTTTACTGGTACCAGGGATCGAACTCATGACTGCCTGCTTGCAAGGCAGGCGCTTATGCCACTGAGCTAAATCCCCAGCCCCCTCAAAAAATTTTATTATGGGGCTGGGGATTTAGCTCAGCGGCATAAGCGCCTGCCTTGCAAGCAGGTGGTCGTGAGTTCGATTCCTGGTACCAATAAAAAACGAAAAAGACCAAAAAAAATTTTTTTATTGTGTGACAGAGCCTCATTAAGTAGCTCACGCTTGGGCTTGAATTTGCAATCCTCCTGCTTCAGCCTTCCAGATTGCTAGGATCACAGGTATGAACCAGCATTGTAAGAGCTTTTGTAAGGAGTAAGAAATACCTGTGTTGTTTTGAGATTAATGCAGTAACAGGAATACAAGTTATGGGAAACTGAAGAGTGAGTTAACAGCTAGCTGTAACAGTCATGATTTTGTGGATATATTACTGAAACATTTGATAATTTGCAATTTGTGTCTGTGATGGAAAACACTTACAAAAGGTGAAATAAACTGTGCATGGTGGTGCATACCTGTAATCCTAGCACTCCGGAGGCTGAGGCAGAAGGACTATAGGACTATGAGCCCAGCCTGGTCATCGTAGTTAACTTGGCAGCCCTATCTCAAAAGAAAACATAAAGAAAGGCTGGGGACCAGGCAAGGTGGTACACACCTGTAATACCCCAGCACTTGAGAAGCTGAGGCAGGAGGATCTTGGTGAGTTTCAGGCCAGCCTGACTTACATAGCAAGACCTTGTTTCAAAACAAAACAAAAATGGGAGAAGGGGTGTAACTTGGTGTGAATGTCCTGGTTTCAATGCCCAACTGAAAAAAGAAAAAAAATAAAGATGTAATACTTTGTTTTGTTTTCAATTCAGGAGAAATCAGTGATGGTCATCTGATTAATTCAGGCCTCATGGCAACAGACACTTGTCAGGAGCCTAACCAAGATCTGAAGTTTTCTGTGGAGCAGGGAAGTAGCAGAAGCAGAGAAAACTCTCCTTCTCCTCAATCAACTGATCTTCCTAGCATAAATAAAGAAGAAGAACCAACCCAAGGCAACAGTGGGTCTGAGGCCTGTAGCAGTTCCTTTCTAAGATTATCTTTTGCTTCTGAAACCCCTATAGAGAAAGAACCTCCCTCTCCTGTTGAGGAGCCTGAGCAACAGGCAGAATCTACTCTGACATCTCTTGAAACCAGGGGAAACAAGAAAAAGAAGAAACTTCGGAAGAAAAAAACGCTACGTGCTGCTCATGTTCCTGAGAATAGTGACACTGAGCAGGATGTATTTACTGCTAAACCTGTAAGGAAAGTAAAAATGGGCAAGTTACCTAAAGGAGGGAAAGTGACCACCTCCACCTGGGAGGACAGCAGAACTAGTCGGGAACAAGAGAGTCTCCGAGATGAGCCAGAGAGCGACTCCTCTCTGGAAGTTTTAGAAGTTCCTCATCCACAGTTAGAAGTAGTAGCCATCGATTCTTCTGAATCTGGAGAAGAGAAACCAGATAGTCCCTCCAAAAAGGATATTTGGGACACTGCAGAGCAAAATCCAATAGAAACTTCTCGTTCTGGTTGTGATGAAGTCAGCTCCACCAGTGAGATTGTCACTCAGAACAAGGATGGCGTCCTTGTAAGGTAAGGTGTTGTATTGGGCCAGATAGAACAGCTTTCATCAGCCTTTTTTTTTTTTTAAATAGGACTTTTAGTCATGAATCAATTTAAGAACCAAATTTTACGAAATAAGTTATAGAAGAATCAAATCTTGGTAGTGGATACTCTATTTTCTGTTGTCTGTGTTGTATTCACTGCTTTTGTTTCTCTTAGAAATTTCAGATGTATCATTATTGCTTTGCCATTGTTTAAAAAATCCTTTGAATCAGAAAATTTTTAGTTTTGCTACCTGTCCTGTTCTCATATATTTTTGCTATTACTTTGTAGTGTGGCAGAAACTCAGACTGTGATCAGCTCCTTAAAAGGCTCAAAGAATTCTTCAGGTATTTGTTGTTCTATTTTATTTATATTAACCACAGAAAAAAGAAGTTGGTAAATTTAGAGTTCACATTTCCCTGTTGACTAAGTTTACCAAATAGGAGAGTGATGAGGGGTTGCCCTAAGAGGACTGTTGGGATCAGCAGTAGATCTGCAATTTTGACCTTTGCAAGTTTCTGCTGCCAGTCTCCTATCTAGCTCCTTTGTCTTTGTTGTTAGTGTTAACTTTTCATTAGCTCCAGGAGTTTTTGCTTTGAGAAAAAACTGCTTAAAGAATGATACCTTGCTTAGAGAAAAACTCTTTGAAATTATGGAGGTGACATGGAGAGAGATAAGGTATCTTCCAATTGCTACTCAAAAATTCCTGCTGTAAAGATCTTTTTCCTAAGTGAAAGGTCTTCTCTGCTGTTCCTTATTATAGAATCTTCATAGCAAAGCTCTTTAATAAAGACTGTGATATCCTGCTAGTAGAAATAAGCTTTAAGGAGAATTTTTCTTTTTAAATTTAATTCAGGGATCAGTATGTGGTATGGTTTTGATTTTGAGTGTCTTTTCAGGCTGCAGCTGAAATGTCTGAGATACTTCTTGTTTTCTAGAAATATCTTCAGAGCCAGGAGATGATGATGAGCCCACAGAAGGAAGCTTTGAAGGGCACCAGGCTGCAGTGAATGCAATTCAAATATTTGGAAATTTACTGTATACTTGTTCAGGGGATAAAACTGTCCGAGTGTATAATCTGGTGGTAAATACATGTAATACTTTAAATGTTTTTGGTTGCAGGTTTTAGAAAATCTCACTTGCCTGGTATAGTGGCTTATGCCTATAATCCCAGTACTCAAGAGGTGAGGGAGGAGTATTACTGTGATTTCAAAGCCAGCCTAGGCTATATAGTTGTGTTCAAGGCCAATTTGTATCTTGTGGTGGAGCTCAAGGCCAGCCTAAATTATGTGACCTTGTCTTAAAAACCAAAAAAACAAAACAAAAAAACCACTTCACTCACACTTTCATTACTATAATATCTGTTGTACATTTTGGATCTTATTACTCTTTCAGTTTTTTTATTTTATTTTTTTACACTAAGGAGATATAAGTTTGATTTATTTCACTTGTGAGTATGGTCTCAAGTTGCCTCCATTTGCCTATAAAGTCCTCAGGATTATCCTTTTTTATAGCTGAGTAATATTGCATTGTATGAAAATACATCCTTTTTATGCATTCTGCAGTTTGGGTCTAACTTTAAATTGCAATGGGTGTGTGCACATGCACACATGCCTGTGTGTGTACTTGTGCATTCTAACTACTTGTGCACTCTAATGGGCACAGAGGTAACAGTTAGGATAGTCCTTTATACAACCACACCTGGACCGCTAGGACCTGGGAGGGCATCTGACAATTTTTTATATTGTGGAACATTCTTTTAAACTAAGAATCAAATATACAATTTTTCTGGGTAATTAGCTAGTTTAGTTTTGCAAGATCCTTGGCCTATTTGTTAGAGAACCTTGCCCAAGGCATTAAAATTCTGAGTTAGGTGTGGTGGCACATACTTCTACTCCCAGGACTCTGGGAGGCTGAGGCAGGAGGCAAGTTTAAGCCCAGCCTGGATAATTGAGTGAGACCCTGTATCAAAATTAAAAAATAGAAAAAAAGATTAGGGGATGTAGCTCAACATGAAGGATCTGGGTTCAGCCTTAGTAGAAATGAAAAAGAAATCTGACCCATGTTATAGTGAATCATTGTTTTTTAGTATAGCTCAGCTGACATAGAAGTACCTGAGAATATCAGACTATTTGCTACTCATTCAGTGAACAGATATTTCTTTGATACCTTTTGTGTGCCAGGCACTATTGTAGGCATTGAAAACAGCAGTAGAGTAAAAGTTCTGCATTATTTTGTTGAGTTGAGAAAATACATTATCTAATCCTTCCACATCTTTCAAGTAATCATCTGATCCGCACTTGACTTTAGAGTCGGAAGTGTATTGGCGTCTTTGAGGGCCATTCTTCCAAAGTGAACTGCCTCCTGGTTACTCAGACCTCTGAGAAGAATGCTGCACTCTACACGGGTTCCAGTGATCACACCATTCGCTGCTACAATATTAAGGTAGGTGGGTGCACAGAAGTCAAAGTGGAAGGTGGAGACATTGGGAAATGTTTCATTCTACCCACTTGACTCTCTTGTTTTGCTTCTAAACCTGTTTTAGCACATCAATAAACCTTAAGTCTATTGCCTTTAATAGAAACCACATTTTCTGTTTCTCCACCAGTGTGTATTTTTCTATTAATAAGTATACTTCCCTTGGTCTTGACCCACTAATTTTTACTTTTACATCTTATGCTCATTTGCCAAAATTAATCCTAAATAGAATAGAAAATAAAATGTTTATTGAAATCTGTAGAATTAGAGTTGAATATCTCCCCTGAGAGTTTTTGAAATCTAAATACATTGAGAGAAATGAGAGAAAATTGCATTATACAACAGATGCAGGGATAGGTCAGTGATACTGCATTTGCCAAGTGTGCTTGAGGGCCCAGATATGTCCAGTTTGTAGTCCATAGGCTGCTTGCCCTTTCTTTTTAAATGTTTGCATTTTTTAAATGTTGCAGTAACAAGTATTTTTAAAAGTTTTTTTTTAATTTACATAAAACTATATCGTATGTTTTTTGGGTAATCCAAGACAATTTCTCTTTGCTCAGTACAACCCAGGCAAGCCAAAAGGTTGGATATGTCTGCTTGAGGCCCTGAGTTTGGTCCCCAGTAGCACCAAAAAAGGAAAAAGGAAAAATAGTCAATATGTCTAACTGGTAAATGGATAAATAAAATGTGATTTGTAACAATAAATATGGTATATAAACCATCGAATGACAATAGCTAAAAAAGAAAGGAAAAATCGATGCGCATACCAACATGATGGATCTCAAAAGCTTCATGCTAGATGAAAGAAGCCCAGTGTAAAAGACTACATGCTATGTGTTCTCTTTATATGAAATCCTAGAAGAGGAACAACTATAGTAGTTACTTGGGGTGTGATAAGGATCTGTTGAAAGATTGTGTAGGAGAACAGTTTGGGCTGTTGGGATATTCTGTAAGTTAAGAGAATGTTTTCATCTTTTCACATGCTGTATGCTTTATCAAAACTTAATGAAATGTTAAGTTTTGTCCATATTAAATATGGACAAATTTTGTTTTATGGAAATTATGCAAATTGGTTGCAAAATTTAGTGCATGTGATTTTTTTTTAAAAGAAAGACAAAAAAAAAAAAAAAGAAAACAGGCAGAAATAGTACATACTTTCAAAGAAAAGTAATACAGTAATAAATCACTAGCTGATGTATACATATTGTCCCCCTATAAATAGTTGTTCAAGGTACACAAATGGAACATATAAATGGGATTTCAACCAGAGAGACTGCAAACAGTTCTGTTCAACTATCCAACAAAAACTTAAATGTTATGGCTATCAATCCTATACACTTAGATATGTACGCGTTTATCCATATCTTCATTTATGTTGAGACCTAACACAGTATATTAGATAAAAATCCTTCTGAAAAAAGATTAATAATATTGCTGGATTTCACATCATAGCACTCTGGAATTAGGATCGGGTACCGCAGTGCCACTTTCTTTCAGAGTTTTTGTTCATTTCATCATGTGTCATCAGATCAGTGTTCAAAAACTGTTTATAGGTTTTATGTAAGCTTGAGTCGTAACATGTATTTCTGTCCTTTCTATGTTAGAGGGAAAAACATAACAAAGCAGGACAGAACTAAACTTTTTCCTATAGACATATAAAACTAAAAAGACATATAAATCTGCTGTATAAAGAGTTCTATCCTGGTCACTGTGCTGTTTCTTGTTATCATTAACAGAATTGGGTATATCATCAGATAAAGTATAATTGAGCATATCAATTATACTTTTAACAGAATTAACAGAAATACAACTTTATAGATAGTGTAGAGCTACAAAAACAGGTAGTAATCAAATCAGAATGGATATTGTAGTGAATCAATATCATTTTCAGTATAGTTGTCTGTACTCCTCAACTTGTTGCTATCAACCTTACAGGTTTGAATAAAATCTGTCAATAATAAGTAGCAATCAAACAAGTCAGATTTAACTAAGATCAGTCATGATGTAACAGTATAAGTCATTCATGGATCCTAATTGAGTTAATAGGGAATTAAAGATGTCCCCTATGCTATGGACAGCCGTCTGTGCCCCTCAGATCCAATGCTCGTACACAAACTAGGACAGAACGAGTTCCAACCAAGCAGAGTCGTGCAAGTAATAAGGGTTTTAATTCCTGATACACTATTAGCTATATCTTCTGCTTTTTTTTTTTTTTTTTTTTTGAGGACTATTCCTCCCTTTTACTCCCCCAGAATGAACTATGTATTTTTGGGTCTCCCCAACACTCACGGTTTTGTATTGAGGGGGAAACCTGCTATTTACCTAAGTGTTTCTGAACTTTTTCACTCCTGGGCTGGATTTCTTCATCTATTAAAGCCTGTCTGTTCAACCTATCCATATATACTGGTCCAGTTACCCCTATTACTCTTTGGTTCCCTATCACATCGAGTTCCATTTTCTCATGTTTGATTTTGGTCCATATAACCTTCTTTAGGCTAATTATATTTCCTATAAAGAGCCTCTCGGTGGACCCTATCTCTTGATCTACTCTGCCTGCTATTCTCTATTTTTTCCTTTAAGTTAGTGTATCTAGGCCATCTATATTAGAAATTATATCCAACCTTCTCTGCCTCATTTCTGTTGAGCTCTTTTTCTGTCATTAGTTGTCAGTTTGTCTTCTTCATTTCACTTTCTGCTCCATTCATTGTGGCCTCTCTGCCACTGTTTTTGGAACCCTGGTACTTTTCTCTCTCTTTAGAATGTCCTGCAGTATTCTCTGTAGAGTTGTATTGGTGCTTGCAAATTCCCCTAGTTCCTCTTTATCCTAGGAGCACCTTGTTTCTTAATTAATTTCTAGGGACAGTTGTGCAAGATATATCAATCTTGGCTGGAGGTTATTGTCTTTCAAAGCTTGAATTATTTCACCCCACGCTTTTCGTGATTTGATGGTTTGTGCCGAGAAATCTGCTGTAATTCTGATGGGTGTTCCCTTCTAAGTGATCTGTTTCTTGTCTCTGACAGCTTTTAATATTCTGTTCTCATATTGGATTTCTGGAATTTTGATTATTTTATGCCTGGGTGTATCTCTGTTTGGGTTGTAGGTGGCTGGGGTCCTGTATGCCTCATACATCTGAGTATCTTTACCTTTTCTTAACTTAGGGAAATTCTCCTGGATTATTTCTATGAATAGCCTTTGCAGTTCATTTGTTTGTATCCCTGCTTTTTCCTTTACATTTTTAATTCTTAAGTTATAGATCCTCTTATCATCTTCTAGCCTTTGTATTGTTACTGCTTGTTTCCATTTTATTTTTAAGAAGTTTTTCCTTTCATGTTCCCACATTACAAATCTGTCCTCTAGTTCAGATAATCTATCCTTAGTTTCTTTCAAGTCGTTATGCCAGCTTTTGATAGAGTTTTTAGTTTGCTGGTAATCTCTTTGAACCTGCTTCATGTATTCTATGTCTTCTCTATTTTCTCCATCAAACAATTCTCCCCATTTTTCTCTTCTTCCATTCTACCATCTGTTTTTTCTTGGGAGGTGCTTAGCATTTCTTTAACTATTCTACTTATATCTTGCTTTACTTCGTTAAATACTTCACTTTTGAACTTGTCTATGAAGCTCCGGAGATATCGCTTTATGTCTGTTGGTGCCGTGTCTGATAGTGTATGTTTTCCGTCCTCATTCTCCTTTGCCTTTACCTTTCTTGGATCAGTGTTCTCAGGATTAAGGACGGAGAGCCCTTTCTTGTTGCCTCCTCTTCTAATATTTTTTGTTCCTTACATATAGGCGTATATAGGAGACCCAGTTTCTTTCTTTGTGGGTTACAGTTTGTTTGAATCGTGGCAGCTAGGTGTTCTGCCCACTGCAGTGTACTAGGGGAGAAACAGACCTGGGCAGCCTATGCTGGGCCCGCCCCTCCAGGTCAACCTACTGAAGGCTTCACTGCTAGGGTGCACCGCCAGACGCAGACCTGGTTTGGGCTAGCCTACTGAGTCTTAGTCCGTGGTGTCACCCAGGTCAAGTGCTCCCCACCAATCCCACTTGAGGGAGGAATATGCTACTGAAGTCACTGCAGCATCCTGTTCCGGCTAGTCTGCCTGGTCTCAGAATCTCTTCTGTTGAAGCCTCCTAGTCTATGGAAGGGTCCCCGTCCCTCTCACTCACCACAGATCGATGCAAGGCTCCCTGCCAGTTCTACTCTCAATTTGTTTAAGTGGTGGCAGGGAATTCAAATTGCGGTTTCCTGAGGCACAGGTTCCAGCTTCGATGCTGAGACTTTATCTGTTCCAGTCATAGCACCGGGATTGCATTTCCAGTTGGTTTCTCTCAGCTTAGTTCGTTCCTGGGTTGGCAGGGTATATCTCCCTCTGCTTAGGACTCCCCACACTGCACCAGTCCTGGATTCTAAGCTGGCTATCTCAGAGAGCCTCCATAGCTGTTGCTGTCTATCCACCATCCAGTCCGTGCATGTGATTTTTAAAAAAAAATTTATTACCATAAAAGACACATTGCCATTAATTTCTTTCCAAAACATTCCCCCTCACTCCTTATTTTTTAAAACAGTATCAAAATTTTATTAAAGGTAGGAAGAGACTCTGCAGAGCAAGTTTAGGCCAAGTATAACAGTAGGAAAAGTACACTGTACAGTGCAAGGGTGATCCACTGTGCAAATGGGAATACAGTGCCTGACCCTCACTTTGGTCACATTTGTCCTTCATTTTTGCTACTTTCTGAAACAATTCTGGAAGTCCTTTTGTAAGTTTTTTTAGTTGCTCTGTTGTGCCTGCCTTGATGTCCTGAATCAATTCAAAATGTTTACTTTTCAATTTAACTTTGGAGAAGAGCCAGATTGATGCCAGATTCAGTGAATAAGGTGGATAAGCACAGACACATCAAACTTTAGGAGCCTGCCTTTCCATTGAATGTTAGCAGCATTCGCCATATTTTGGATCACTTCTCATAAAACACAAGAGAGCTGCCGAAGTGACTGGACTGATGGGATAAGTGTATTCAAAGTAGCAGGGGGAGGGGGTTTGAGTGGAAATTAATAATGTATTTTATTATAATTTTAAAAAATTTCATCATTTACTGTATATTTCGATTGCCTGCAAATACTTCATTAAGGTAAAAAAATTAACCATATTTTGGCAACAAACAGTCTTATATGAAAAGGAAAATAACTAATATGTGTTGTAAAGAGTTTATACTTTTAAATCACAGTAGGTTTGTAGGCAAAGACAGAAACAGGTTCTAAGATGAAATACAAATAGCTGAAGATAATATTTTGCATTATTTATTATAATTATTATAGTGACAATGAATGCAAATTGAAACAAAATATAATATTATTTTGATTGATACAATTACAAAATAACTAGATTTTTCAGTTTGTTTGTTTATTGAACCAAGGGCCTTTTATTCTTGAGATAGAGTCCCCCTAAGTTGCTCGGGCTGTGTTCGAATTTGTGATCCTTTTGTTTCAGCCTCCCAGAGTGCTGGGATACAGGTGTGTGTCATCATACCCAGCTCAGTCAATATCCTTAAAGGTTTTAACATACATGATGTTTATGCTCACATATATTAAGATTGGAACATCTATAGTGTTTGGCATAGGAAACAAGATTTCACGTGTTAACCATAGGGAACATGGATCTTAGTATTTTGTCATTTTTATTAGGTTTGGCTGTATTTTATAATTTCATGTATAGCATTTATATTTGTAAGTTTATAAGGGAAAACTGGATAATTTAAGAAATTAACTCAGGAAAGAAGGCTGAGAAGAGATTAAAGGATTTGACAGCTGACAATTTGTACATTCTATAGACAGCTCTTATCTCCCCCATTTTTAACCATCTTGATTTTAGCATCAGTATTCAGACTTGCTTAAAAAGCTTTTAAGCAAGGGGCCTTTTGTTACTTAGTACCATTTAAAAACAATTTTTTTTTGTTCCCTAGTGCTAGGGTTGAACCCCAGGCTCATACATTACTGGGCTAAGCACTCTGTCACTGAACTACATCCCTAGCCCTCCACAACAGTTCTTCATTACTGTGTAAATAGCCTTACTGTCAGTTTTAGATTAGATTTGTAATCTAATTTGTAATCTAGTCTGTTTTTGGAAAATTAAGATAAATAATTTCTTAAAGATCATATCAAACAGTGCTCCTTAAACCTGCCTGAGATCTGAATTATTATGGAAACTCTTTGTTTATTTGCAGTGCTAAGATGGAACCCAGAGCCTGTACATGCTATCTAAGCACTCTATCTCATTCTAATTAAGTACTCTTAATTAGAAACATAGGCATTACTAGAATTTTTTTTTTTTTCATTTTTAGCCAGAGCCAGAAGTCTCTGGCCTCCTGTTTCAAAGAGAGAAAAGATCCAATATAGTCCTCTACAAAATAGACTGCCAGGTTTTCTTCATCAGTCATTTTCAGCTCTGCTTTCAGGAGAATTGTTTTTGTATTTCATTCTATCTGTTCACTAGATGTTGTGTTCTTTTGTTAGACCCGAGTGTGCGTAGAGGAGTTAAAGCTGGAAGACCGGGTTCTCTGCCTCCACAGTCGATGGCGAATCCTATATGTAGGACTAGCAAATGGCACTGTGGTCACCTTCAACACAAAGGTCAGTGGTTGGGGAACAGAAAGTAAATTCCCTTGCTGTTTGGAAATGAGAAAGAGTAGGGGTAGTCAGGCATTCGTATGTATTTGTGTGAGGAAACAACAGAACCATTACTCAGAAACTTTGTCTTCCGTTGTAAATGAAACAAGGTCCTCCATCCTGTCTGCTTAGACTCAGCTGGTCAGACCAAAATGTAAATTCAGTGAAGCCTGAAGATCTGGGGGGTCAAATAATGAGTCACAGATTAAACCAGCCTGTCTCATTTTAAGAGTGACACCATGAAAAAAGAACCTGAATTCCTTCATAAGGCAGTGGTATGGTTTGGAACTGATCTAGAGTTAATGAGATGGCTTATTCCATAAGGCAAGTCAGGTTTGCCTTGATGCTCATGTGACTCTTCCTAAGCAAAATCTTCCTGAACATCTGTTATGTGCTAGGCCCCAGGGTAAGTTTAAGAAGTTCTTGATGACCTTATGTTTTGCTAAAGTAGTTTGGCTTGTTCACATGTTAACCAGAGGGAACATACATGTATTATATCCGTGTTTCAGAAAATGTTACTATGGAGTTAATGAATTGGAAAATATAGTGTTAATGTAAGCTGGGAGATTATTCAAGAAGCAGAAGCTTTGCAATGAAAGCTGACATGAAAGGCTACACTAAGAAGAAATAGAAGGAAGTAGATGAAAGATGTAATCTAAGAGGTGGAAGAAATAATAGCCACCATATCCTCTGGTCATCATCTAATAGTATGTTAGAGTGTTTCCTGTTACAGTATCATTTGTATATTTATATCTAGCTAGAACTACTGTAAGAAAGGCAATAAAATATATCTGCTTTTCTGTATTTCTTCTTTTAAGAAAAGTCAAGTGGATGTAGTGGTGCATGCCTGTAATCTTAGCACTTATAAGGCAAAGACAGGAGAATTGCCATGAGTTAGAGGCCAGCCTAGACTACATAGTGAGATACAGTCTCTAAAAAAAAAAAAAAAAGTAAAGGATAAAAACCTAATACTCTTCTCTTTTATAAGATTATTGTTAGTAAAGGTAGATGTTAAAAGCAAGATATTTGAAGCAAGACAATCACAAAATTTGTATGTATGCATTTATGGCTTTTTTTTTTTTTTGAGACAGAGTTTCCCTATATAGTTTAGGCTGGCCTTGAGCTCACTTTGTAGCCCAGGCTGGTCTCGAATTTGCAGCAATCCTGCCTCAGCCTCCATGCTGAGATTACAGGCATGTGCCACCTTGCCCGGCCTTATTTGTATGTATGCATGTATGTTTGTATTTTTGAGATAGGGTCTCACTATGTGCTTTAGACTGACTTTGAATTCATTATGTAGCTTAGGCTGGCCTCAAATTTGCAATGATCTTCCCGCCTCAGCCTTCTGAGTGCTAGAATTCTAGGCATGTACCACCATACCCAGCCTAAAAGCTTTCTTTCTTTATTTATTTATTTATTTATTTATTTATTGCTCCAGCCTAAAAATTTTAAATGGAACAGTCCTGGTTGAAAAAACTGTGGAAAAGATGACAGTTTTTTGTTGGATTGGATGTTTTTTTTTAAGATAGCATCTCGTTTCCTCAAACTAGGACTAGCGTTTCCATTTGACCCAGGTATTCCTTCTGGCTATCTTCCCAAAAGAATTAAAAACATAATACCATAGCGATATATGTGCACTCACGTTTATTGCAGCACAATTTGTAATAGCTAGATCTTGTGCTCAACCTAAATGCTCATCAACTGAAGAATGGATAAAAAAAGATGTGATAATTTTAAACAATGGAGTTCTACCCAGTCATAAAGAAGGATGAACTGTGGACTTTTATAGGTAAATGGATGCAACTTGAGACCATACTCATAGTGAAATAAATAAGTCACACATATGTAAACATCGTGTCTCACCAGATTGAGAAGCTGAAACAGTGTATGTATATGTGTATATAAAAAAGATAAGAGAGTTATGCTGCTTATTTCTCTGAGTTCATTGAAGAGAAAGATTTGTGCTGGTATTGTTTGGACAGTTGAATGCAGGTGTCTTGTGCAATATATGTACCATTGTTGCCCCCTGATATGTTTTGAAATTTTGTCTCATTTTTTCTCTTTAAAATAAATGGATTTTAAAAAAGGAAAATATAGCATCTTTTTATGTGATTCAGACTGGCCTTGAACTCACTATGTAGCCCAGGCTGGTCTCAAACTTGGAGTTGTCCTGCTTCAGCCTCCTGTGTGCTAGAATTATAGCCATGCACTACCATGCCCAGTTTAGAGACAGTTATAAGCGTCTCTTTGTAGATATGAATTTTGAAGACTGGGGCTGAGTTTTATCTTTCATTATCAAAAAGGGAAGTGAAAAAGGGCATAAAAAGAAAAATTTTTATTGGGATCAGGATAGTATGTAGGTTGAAGGACAAAATAGTTTATTATGAGCCAAAGTTGGTAATGCATATCTATAATCCCTGCTATTATGGACACTGAGGCAGGAGGATTATAAATTTGAGACCCACCTGGGCAAATTAATGAGTCCCTATCTCAAAACAGAAAAATAAAAGGATGGGGTATGTTGCCTAGTACTCCCTGCGTTCAATCCCCAAACACAAAGAATTCATCGTTTAAGAATTTGCCCTTTTTAGATCGGGAGAAAGGAGGTCATGATCACAGCAAGAGCATTGGAGCGGACGCAGCAGGAATTGAGAGGTTAAGAATTTGAAGGCGGTATGAGAAAACTCAAATCTCAACACCCCCCCCCCCCATTTTTTTCCTGAAACCTCATCAAAAATTTTAATGGAGCTGGGCGTGGTAGTACAGGTCTGTAATCCTAGCACCAGGAAGCTGAGGCAGGAGGATCATTGTGAGTTCAAGGCCAACCTGGGCTAAATAATTCAAAGCCAGTCTGAACTACATAGTGAGAGTGCAGTGATGGAGCTGAGAGTTTGTAATAATTTTTGTTGGTTGGTTTTGAGCTTTTCTAGCTCTGTTACTTTTGCTTTATATAATGAAGGCTTATTTTTCAGAACAACAAACAACTAGAGATCTTTGAATGCCATGGACCAAGGGCTGTTAGCTGTCTTGCTACAGCCCAAGAAGGTTCCCGAAAGCTGCTGGTCGTGGGATCTTATGACTGTACCATTAGTGTGCGGGATGCCCGAAATGGACTGCTCCTTAGAACTCTGGAAAGCCACACCAAGACCATTCTGTGCATGAAGGCAAGTACAGTGTAGCAACTAGAGGGGCTTGGGGTGAGGGGAAGGGTATTGAATGGTATTTCCCATTTCTAAGATCACAGCCATCTTGAAAAGATTATTAATGCCTGGGTCACCGAGTAGAATACTACTCTTTAATGTATTAGCCAAGAAACAATTAAGAGAAGGTTTTATCATAGAATGTAGGTACAAATATGTTGCCTTTCTAATCATTCTGGGAAGGTAACATCATGAATCCATGAGTATGCCTAGTGGTGGGGCATAAGTATTAGTAAAGAAAATTGGTTTGGAGACATTATTTTATACCTAGTTCATGCTCATCTTGAGATAGTATGAAAGTAAAAATCTGCTAGTTCATATTACAAGTTACAGAGCAAACCGAGACCTTGTGTAGACTCTAACAAACTCAATTGTTCCATTGAAGGTGGTGAATGACCTTGTGTTCAGTGGCTCCAGTGATCAGTCTGTCCATGCTCACAACATTCACGTAAGCTTTTTTGTTGTATAAAAGGAAATCTTTAATAAGTTACTGGTTCACACTTAAAAGCTTCCTCAGACCTCTTGCAGTTTAAATTAAACCTTTTATGCAGTGAAAGAATTAATACTGATCCCTGTGTATATACTCTAGGATTGAACAACCTGAAAATTCTAACCTTGTCAAAAAAAATTTTTTTCCCAAAACTTTATCAAAAATTTTAATGGGACTGAGCATGGTGGCACACATCTGTTATCCTAGTACTTGAGAGACTGAGGCAAGAGGATAATTGCAAGTTTAAGGCCAGCTAGGCTTATATAATAAGTTCAAAGCCAGCCTAAACTATCTCAACCCCCCCTCCCCCAGTTTTTTTTTAAATGGGGAACAGACCCAAAGCTCATGCAAGGTTTCATTTGAATGCCTCATTTAAATTGAGGTAAGTTGAGCAGCTGAGGCTCTCAGAAAGTGGACATGATATGGAATTTAAAATAGAACAAGTGAAAACAGCTGAGATTCTATACTTAGATCATAAAGTCAGCTCTCTGAACCTCAGTTCCTGATCTGTAATCCAGGGCACCTAAGGAATTCATTGTCCAGGCCAGGCCCATGAAATAGTAAAAGCAAAAGTACAGATTGATCATCCTTCATCTGAATACCTGTTGATGTCCGCTCCCGGCCGGCAGGAAGGACACACGACAAAGTCTGGTAGTGGACAACCTTTTCTTTTTATTTTCCTTCTCCGTACAGCCTGCCCTGGGTTCTCCCAGCTGAAGCCTCCTCTGGTCCGCTCCCCGCGGCTCCTTTTGTGCTTCAGTCTGCCCCAAAGCCTCTACCGGTCCGCTCTCCGCGGCTCCTTTTGGGCTTTTACTTCTGGGCTTCTACCTGGCTTCTTCTTCCGCCCAGGGGTGGCACCGGTATATATACGGGTACAGTGTCCAATCATGTTAAAGTAAGCAAGGCAAGCTGATTGGCTAACATCATCAGTTGCCAGGCAGACTATATTGTTGAGCGGGTTGTTTACGCGGTAAGCAGGAAACTAACATATTCGATGGGAGGGGTAATCTACCTCAGGCTTTGCTCTTTACCACAGGCCGCACGTCCGCCGCGCAAGGCGAGCTATCACAGACGCGGCTCCCAACATCTCCCCCTATTTTATTTTTTATGAATGTGCGCATCGTAGCCCTTCCTGGACTGGGTGCAGAGGCTTATGCCCTATGTGTAGGTCCACCGTAGGTCCTTGGCTTAGACCCTGGTTGGCCATGCCATGGTCTGCCAAGGCCCTGAGGCCCTCGTCCTTTTTCTAGGGCCAGGCACAAACTGGACGGAACCTGGTTGCACACAAGCTTGCACTCATTTCCTCTCCGTAAAGAAATCCCCTCGGAGAGAAATTTAGACCTGGGCAGCATCTAACAGTCCAGCGGCTTACGTGCAGGATGGGGTAGGGCCTGGCTTAGGTCGAGTCGTGCTGGGGAGGCACGCTCTTACCCGTCATTGACTCACCTACCCTGCTGTGTATTGTCACCTTATGGAGGAGAATGAGGGATGCCCGCCATATCTAGACTCGGTCGTGGGCCAATTGAGCAAGCCATGCATATGCCTGAGGATCTTCTTGTCCATTTCGGGCTACCGCTATTTCTATTCATCTTATTGGTTGGTCTGTGATGGATCTCCAGTAGGGCAGGTCTGATCTTCAGTCGAGGGCTTTGTTGCCCGTGTCAGTCTCTCCGGTATCCACAGTGGTTCTCGTCCCGGTTCCTGTGGGAAAACACAAACCGCCCCTCGGTTCCAGCTGACCACTGGATCCGGGCCCATCCATTGTCCTGTCAGGACATCTTTCCACTTCACCCACCCTTTATGGTTGGGGGAAGGGTTGCAGTGCTCCACAGCTGGGGAGCGATTATCATTATTTAAATTTAAAAAATTGTGTGTGAATAGTGCCATGGATAATCGTGCCTTTGGGGCCAGGCCTTGGCCTACTCCCCCTTTTTGTTTTTGTAAAATTTCTTTGAGGCTTCTATGAGCCCTCTCAATGATTCCTTGACCTTGGGGATTGTATGGGATACCATGTTTTAATTGAACCTCCATCATTTTGCAGAACTCATTGAAGGCTTTGCCTATATAGGCTGGTCCATTATCAGTTTTTAATATTTTTGGTTTGCCCCATGCGGCCCAAGCTGCCAGGCAATGATTGATCACATTAGACACTTTTTCACCTGTTTCTGCTGTTGCGAATATGACGTGAGAACAGGTGTCTGTGGAAACATGAACATATTTAAGAGTCCCAAACTCCTGTATATGTGTGATGTCCATCTGCCAAACATCACCAGGGATCAAACCTCGAGGGTTTACTCCCATCGGTATGGCAGGTTTGTATGTGGCACAGGAGTCACATAGTCGCACGATATCTCGTGCATCTGCTCTAGAAACATGGAAATGGTTTGCTAGTGTCCTGGCATTAACATGAAATTTATCATGGAAGGCACGGGCTCGCTCGATTGGTGTTAGTAAGGTAAAAATCCATAACGGGCGAGTGGCAGTGTCAGCAGCCGCATTCCCCTGTGCCATGGGCCCCGGCAGGGATGTATGTGCTCTTATGTGGGTGGTGAAGACCTTATGGTGTCTGTTCTGAAGCAATGTCTGGATAGACAGGAACAGTCCAGCCACTGTGGAAGTGGATCTAATTAAACTGGCAGTCTCAAGCACTTGCATAGCATTGACCACATACCTAGAATCGGAGACAATGTTAATGGCTTCTGAGAACCGTTCAAGAATCATTTTAACGATCTGCAGTTCTACCACCTGAGGCTGATCTGGTTTAAATTGTATGGTAACCGGGGGCTTGCCTAGGATCACATAGGCGCCTATCCCCGTCTTGGAGCCATCTGTGTATATTGTAGTTGCTAGGACTAATGGCTCAGAGGCAGTAACCTTTGGAAAAATTATAGGGTGCTGAGTGACAAATGACAAGATAGGGTCTTTAGGGTATTGATTGTTTATATCCCCATGGAAAACACATCTCAGAATGGCCCAGGTATCTATGCAGGCAGCCAGGGTCTTGATCTGGCTGGCGGTATAGGGTACTCGGATGGCTTGTGGTCCTGAGCCAAAATGTTGGACAGCTCTATCATGCGCTTCAAGGGCCAATGAAGCGACTGCCTCCGGGTAATGCTCTATGACTTTTGCAGGTGAGACCTTAGGGTGTATCCACAGTAGTGGTCCTTTCTGCCAAATCACCGCTGTAGGCTGTAGACTAGTCTGTAGCAAACAGACATCAAAGGGTCGCCCTGGTTCAATTCTGTGTAAGGTAGCCCCACCTAAGGCTTTTTCCACTCTCTGTAAGGCAGCTCTTGCCTCAGGAGTGAGCCTCCTGTGGGAGGCTATATCTGGGTCTCCCTTCAGAAGGTCGAACAGGGGTTTGAGATCTGAATTTGGTATATGTAAATATGGCCTAATCCAATTAATGTCTCCCAATAGCTTTTGCATGTCATTTAGGGTCCTAACGCCATCCGTCCTAATGGTGACCTTCTGTATAAGTCTGGAGGCGACACTGAGGTCCACACCTGCTGACCCAGGGGTGGCCCTTGTTGAAGGTTGCCATCCTGAGCTGTCCTGTCTCTGGGGCGGGGGCCCGCCTGTGAAGGGGGCCCCCTCTGGCCGTTTTTTGGCTCTCTAGCATCTTGTCCACAAATACGGTTGCCCTGAGCATCAAAGACCGACCTACACTCCTCAGCTTTGTGTGATCCCTTTTTGCATCGCCCACAAACATATGGTTCTTCATTCCTAGGGCGAGGCCTAGCATCTGCATTGTTTGGGCAATGACGTTTAATGTGTCCTGGCTCCCCGCAGGCAAAACACCCTTTAGCCTTACATTCCCCTTCTAACCCGCGAGGTCCCCTCTGCTGTACAGCCGCGGCCAGGAGAGCAGCCACTCCCGAGTTGGAGAGCGGCCCCCCTATCTCTCTGCATATCCTAATCCAGGCGTTGAGGTCCTTGTTCTTATGAGGAGCTATCGCTGCCTTGCACTCCTTTGTACATTGCTCAAAAATCAGCTGTCTTACCAGCGGTTGAGCCACTCCCGGATCAGGAAATATCTTATCGGCAGCATCTTGCATTCGGGCCACAAAGTCAACAAATGGCTCTGTGGTACCCTGAATTATTTTTGAAAGACACAAGGAGGCTGTTCCGGCACCACTTACCTGTTTCCAGGCGCGGAGCCCTATGGCATTGATTTGTTCATAGACAGCGCCGGGGAACTGGGTCTGGTCATCAGCGTGCCGACCTTCTCCCATAAGCATTTCCTTGTTCCACCCCCGGTTTCCCCGATTGGCGTTTCTCTCAGCCTGCTCTGCAGAGAACTCTGCGTACCAGGCTCGCCAATCCAGGTAACTGCCCGAGGGCAGACACGCCTTTGCCAGCTGAATCCAGTCCGCGGGGGTGAGGGGCCCAGAAGACAGATTCTCCAGCATGGCAATGGTGTAAGGCGCAGTCGGCCCAAAGGTTGTAACTGCATTTTTAAGTTCTCTAATCTGCTTTATCTCAAAAGGCTCCCATACATTGCGTCCCTGGCCCATAGCTACTTGTACAGGAAATATCCCGTAGGGGCCACTATCTATCCCAGGTGGATGTACCTCATGAGACAAGCGTCCCCCCTGCCAAAGCCGCCTGTAAAAATACCGACCCGCCGGCGGCGGAGCATAAGACAGCGGCCGTGATTGGGCGGAAAATGGGGGCCCGTGCATCACTTCCTGTTCTGGCGAAAGGGGAGAGAGCTCCCAGGCGGCCGCCTCGTGGCGAGGAATCGCCTCCGGAAACGGCCCCCAAGGTGGGGCGGAAGGCTTCGCCTCCCTCTCGCGCCGGGGAGCGCTCAGGAGCTCTCTACTCCTCCGCAGACCAGGTTGAGCAGAGCGCAATTCGCGGGGCAACGCTGGAAAAGAACCCTGCGACTCATTATTGAGCGATTTAGGCTCCTGACAGCTGGTCTCTTTGGCCTCCTTGCCATTCAACTTTCCCTCGTCCTCAGAGTCAGACGACTCCGAGGCTAGAGCCCCGTCCTCCTCCTTAGCATCCTTGTTCCCCTTGACGGACCCCTCTCGGGAGCTCCCTGACTGGGCCTGCTCAGATACCCTGCGTACTTTTGTAAGCTCTTGAGAGCTTTCTCCACAACCACCCTCGCTCTTAGTGTTGCTACCTAACATGTTTCCCATCTTTTAATATGTTACTCACCGCGTGAGGCCCAAGGAATCCGCCACTTACGCGTGAGCCTGAGGGGAGTCTAAAAGCCCTGTAGGTGCGCGCCACCCAGAGCCCAGGCTTATCCCCAACTCACCTGTCTCGCAGCTCTGTACTGGAGCGTTGTCCACTTCCACGTCTCGGGGGTGATCAGTCCCCGGGCGGGCCTCCAAATGTCGATGTCCGCTCCCGGCCGGCAGGAAGGACACACGACAAAGTCTGGTAGTGGACAACCTTTTCTTTTTATTTTCCTTCTCCGTACAGCCTGCCCTGGGTTCTCCCAGCTGAAGCCTCCTCTGGTCCGCTCCCCGCGGCTCCTTTTGTGCTTCAGTCTGCCCCAAAGCCTCTACCGGTCCGCTCTCCGCGGCTCCTTTTGGGCTTTTACTTCTGGGCTTCTACCTGGCTTCTTCTTCCGCCCAGGGGTGGCACCGGTATATATACGGGTACAGTGTCCAATCATGTTAAAGTAAGCAAGGCAAGCTGATTGGCTAACATCATCAGTTGCCAGGCAGACTATATTGTTGAGCGGGTTGTTTACGCGGTAAGCAGGAAACTAACATATTCGATGGGAGGGGTAATCTACCTCAGGCTTTGCTCTTTACCACAGGCCGCACGTCCGCCGCGCAAGGCGAGCTATCACAGACGCGGCTCCCAACAAATACCTAGGAAGCAGAAGTATTTCAGATATCAGACTTTTATAGATGTTGGAATATTTGCATATGCATGAGATAGCTTGGGGGTGAGATCCAAGTCTAAACACAAAATTTGTTTATGCTTCATATACACGTAGCCCAAAAGTAATTTTATATTTTTAGTGTGCCTGTGTTTTAACTGGTTTGTCACATGAGGTCAGGTATGGAATTTTCCATTGGTAAAACAAATCTCCTCTAAAAATGTTTTGGATTTTAGAGTGTTTTTAAGTTTCATATTTTTTGGAGTAGTGTTGCTCAGTGTGTACTTCAGGAACTGTAAAATACAGAAAGCATTGTAGCCCTTCCTTTTCAGTAACTTAGGCTCTTTCTGTGAGGATGTAGTTCCTGTACATCAAAAAGATAACAAATGCTTGTGCGAGTACTTTACCTCTTTTTATAGATAGCCTCAGAATTATGCCTCCTAGAATTATAGAAATCTCAAAAGTATAGGAAAGAATCACATAAAATCTAGTGATCCCTACCTCTTTTCCAATATAGACTGGTGAACTCGTGCGGATCTATAAAGGTCATAACCATGCAGTGACCGTGGTGAATATCCTAGGAAAAGTGATGGTGACTGCTTGCTTGGATAAATTTGTTCGTGTCTATGAATTACAGGTAGAACTGAGTTCCAGTGTTTTTGCTAAATGGTTTGGGGACATTGTTTGTCTGGGTTGGTGTTGGGCTTTTGTATAGCAAGGCTGGGTTGGAGCACAAGAATGCATTTTCATAAGCACAGTAGATAATTACAGAATGGCTGGCTTAGGGGTCACCCCTTACAGACATTGTGCTGAAGTGCATGGTGCCAACCTCATGAATGTCAGACTCTAAAAGGTTTCTGGAGAGCAACCTGACCTCTTAAAACTGTCCAATTTTTCATGTGTGCATTTTCAAAGTTTGAGACTGATCCTGAAGAAACCAGCTTCTCTTTCTAATTAACAGCTTCCTCCTGGAGGAATGGGATTTTAAGAATGACTGATGCTTGGTACAGTAGCACACATCTAAATTTTAGCAGAGAAGGTGGCTGAGACAGACAGTTTGCAAACTCATATTCTTGGGCAACTTAGTGAGACACTGTCCCAAAAGAAAAAAGGGCTGGGGATGTAACTCAGTGGTAGAATATTTATCTAGCATGTGCCAATCATTGGATTCAATCCCCAGTATGAGGTTGTGGGGGGTGCGGTTTGGCATAGTAACTATTATCACTAGATTGTATTTCTGTTAGAATGCTGCTAGTACTTGATGTTAGTACCTCAGGTGCAGTTTTAAACCTCCTAGAGGCCTGAAGGGACTATGCTTTTTAAGCACAAGGTTTAAGTAATCTTAAATTCTTTTCCTGTTTTTTTTTTTTTTGCCTAAGTCTCATGATCGACTGCAGGTTTATGGAGGACACAAAGACATGATTATGTGTATGACCATCCATAAAAGCATGGTGAGCATTATTTGTCTTGTAAGATGTTTGCTTTTGAATATGTTAACTTGGAAGTCTATATATTGATTGACTTGTGACCTCTCAAAGTGATACCTGTTTCTGATACACACCTGAGTATTGAGTGCCTTTGATTCAGCACAATAGTGAGAAGTAACCCAGGGATATTGTTGAATATTTCATTTCTATTAATAGTATAATAAAATAGTATAATAAAATAGTATAATAAAATAATTACAGTAAATAATATATAAATATATTACAGTATATAATATTATTATAATATATTACAGTAATATAATATCAGTAAGTAGAAGATATATTTAAGATCTTCATAAAATTTTGCAGAAGCCTTATGATCTGAATAGAACTTTGGAGTCAGGAGATTTGACCAGCCTGGCAGAGTTAGAGCAGACCTAAAAGTAGATTCTGCTAAGCCTTACTTGATTTTATTTTTAAATTATGAGGTGGAATCAGGATGGATGTTTTTTAAATGCAGTGTAGTAGAAGCCTTTCTGGCAGTGAAATTCAGATGCCTGATGCCAAACACCAGTAAGAAGCCAGAGCTCCCTAGTTAAACAATGGGTGGTCCACTGGGTGTCCTGATGTTGCTCACAGATGGGGTTCCAAGAGTATTCTGTAAGGGGCACAACTTCTAGGTATCCAGACTCTCGAGCTTTAGAAATTGCTTTCTCATTCTAATACTGTGCAGCTGGTTGTGCTTTAAGTTAGTGTTTTCTTTAACTCTTTATTTTGAGGGTGGTGTTTCTTTGCATGCATTTTGGTCTGATATTATGACTTGTTTCTCCAGATTTACACTGGCTGTTATGATGGCAGTATTCGGGCTGTGAGGCTAAATCTGATGCAGAATTACCGCTGTTGGGTAAGCAGTAAAACCTATTTTGTCACCTGATTTTAGGAAATGCTCAGATAACTTCATAGATCTCCATCATCGTCAATGTAGCATTTTTGTATTTGAGCATCTAACTGGTATGTCTTTCACTGTAGGACAAAGAAAGAGGCTTTTATACCTCCTTAATGAAATATCTATCATAAAATTAGGCATGAGGTCTACTTAAATATTGTCTTCTCAGGTTGTGTCCTAGGTGGTTTTTGTTTTGTTCTGTTTGTTATAAAAAATACATGCTTAAAAATATCAACCATGGTGGGGGGAAGAAAAAGAGTTGCTTATTTTTATAGCCTGTCCTTTCAACCATATGCACCTCTCATGACTGCAGATATTTCATGGATTGCTTGTGTCCTCATTAGTTTCTGAGGAATAAGCAAGGAAAAGCTTATAGTCTCTAATTTACAAACCTAGCAGATATGATGGTACATACCTGTAATCCCAGCGCTTGGGGACGCTGACACAAGGATTGCAAGCTCAACCTGAGCAACTTGGACTGTCTCAATATAAAAAAATACAAAGAAGGCTGGTGATAGCTCAGTGCCAAAGTCCCGGGTTCAGTCATCAGTAGTGCAGAAGGTAAACTAATAAGAGCTGGGGCTGACCCTATGTTTAATCCATAGTACGGGAGCTTCAGTCCACTGGCCTGACAGGTGTGATTTCTATCTTTGGGGTAGCGGCTGACAATTAGCCCTTGCAACTTTGTTATTCTTTACAAGCCTTAATTTTTAAAAAAATTCAGTTTGAGGTTGGGGATTTAGCTCAGTGGTATAAGCGCCTGCCTGGCAAGCACAAGGTTGTGAGTTCAATCCCCGGTGACACCTCCCTCCCCCCCCAAAAAAATTCAGTTTGAGAACAGTAGTGACAAAAAAAAAAGTACATGCCACTGAATTTGTTTCCTCCATAGCTAGCCTCCTTTTCAGTATTGGTGAAATGAACTTGACACTTGAGTTTTAGTTGATTTTACACTTCTCCACAGCCTAACTGTTTTCAGCTTTTTAAATATATTATTGTCTTTGCTTTTTAGTATTATCAAAGAAGGCAAAAAAGATCTAGCACAATGAGATTTCTAGAGCACTGGAGAAAATACCTCATGATTTCAAACATAGCAGAGGCAGTGGTCTGACAGAAAAAACTCAAATTTGTATTATTTTTAGAAAAAAAATCAAGCCAAAACCAAAAAAAAAAAAAAAAGTTAGAATCACAAGATTTAGTACAAACAAGCCTCTAAGAAAAAAGTCAAGACAAAGGATGCTTATGCTTTCTGACTAATATGTGAAATTGAGTCATATTTAAAACTAAAATTAAAATTTAAAAAAGGATCCTAACAAGATTCAAGTGATAGCTTGTGAGAGAAGTCAGGTTTCCAAAGCAAACTCAGTTTTTACAACAAATATTTCCGCAGATGTCATTTTCCTTATCAGGTATTTTTGTTTTCAAGTTTATAAGTAAACAGTTCTCAGAATTGTATTTTAATTTAGGGAAGCCTTTTGCCTTTTATAATAAATGGACTAAGATAGAAGTTCAAATTTTATGGCAAGATAACAAATATAGTTTAAACTGAATTTATGGTGATTCAGATGGTAAGTATCTGTTACCCTTTCCCTTACCTAACAAGCACTAAGGTAGTGCTTTGCTTTCTCAAAACACTAGTGTGGTGAGTGGCTTTATTCTTTTCAAGGTGCCTCATTATATATATAATTTGGTTGCCTCTCGTTTTGCTACATGTTACAACTAAGAATGAATGAAACAAAGGGATTTTTGTTTTCATGGTATTTATGGAGTATTCTGACTACATGTTTACTGTGCTCTTTTTTGTGTTTTTACTGCACTCTTTTCATCTAGCCCCTCATTCTCTTTCTTTACAGTGGCACGGTTGCTCTCTGATATTTGGTGTTGTAGATCATTTAAAGCAACACTTGCTGACTGATCACACTAATCCAAACTTTCAGACCCTAAAGTGTCGCTGGAAGAACTGTGATGCTTTTTTCACGTCTAGGAAAGGATCCAAGCAGGTACGTTAGTAGCCTCTCCAAAGCAAAGGCCAGCAGATCTTTTTTGCTTTTTTAGAGTGTTCAGAATTATAGTATATACAGCCCAAAGATTTTTTAGTTATTCAGAGACTTGGGGGATTTTTCAGTGAAGAACCTTGGGAAAGTGTTTTCATAGGTTTCATATCCAGTAGCTGATTGTAATGCTTTGTGCTAAGAACTCATCTTAAAGAACACTTAAAGAACATAGTTTCGTGCCATTTAGTGGAGTGCGGGCCCCTAACTGCCTTTATGTACAGATACTAAGTATAATAGACCCATCTGGCTTTTTGTGGCTTTTATTTTCTCCTATTACACTGCCAGCTTGTCTCTCACAGCCCTTCTCCCTTTTTCCTAGGATGCTGCAGGACACATTGAACGACATGCTGAAGAAGAGAGCAAAATTCACTCATGAAGTTTTTTGCCTCCCATGTTGGGAAGTCATTAGTTGAACTATTTTCCTTTGTGCTCCTCACACAGGCACTCTTTTCCTTTCCTGGGGAAGTAGGAAAGGAGAAAATGGTTACTGGCCAGGTTGACCACTAACATGTGTGGGGAGCTCTGTGAGATGGTAGACTATACTTCAAGATCTTGCTGGAGTGTTGGAACAGCCAATTTCCAACAGTCTTTAAAGAACCATGAGGCATGACATAGGGAAATTCATGTTACCAGCATTCTCCAGATATCCACTAGAGATCCAGATCTTAATTTGTTGCCCAGTCTGACTACTAGTCATGTGTATTTTATTGATACCAGTTTTTAATTTTTATCTCATGTTCTTAATGATGGCTTAAACCTACTCTCAGGTTTTTGGAACAAGCTTATTCCAATGCTAAATTTTTCACAGGGATCTATTTCAGTAACATAAGTGCCTGCCTGGCAAGTGTGTGGTCGTGAGTTCAACCCCTGGTACCAAAATCAGTTTTAATTTCTCTAGTTGCAGTAACTGGGTATTTAAATTGGCAGATAGTTTCCTTCATGATTATGTACAGTGTGTTTCACTGTTTATCTGCTTTGTTGAAGGGCAGAGCAGGCTTTAAATGCTAAAGAATACACAAATTTTTGCAAAGCAGCTAAAATGGCTGCTCTGCACACTGTATATTTTAAGAATTCAGAAAACAAGTCCCACAGTGGTGATTTCTTCCTGACAGCATTTCCTGGTGAACTGCTATGCTCAACGTGAGGCAGCGCATAGCCTATCACTTGCCTTTTGAGTCTTGCTGCTAGACCTGAGCGCTTGTGCTGCAGTACTGTCAGACTGAACTGAGGTATACCTTTATGTCCCTCTCCAGGTTCTGGAGAACCTTGTGTGGGTCTGACCCTTTTGGTTTCCACCATTGTCTACCCCTGTCTCCCTGTGCCTGGACTAAGGCAGCCAGTAAGTGTTCCACCAGACTCACAGGGTGCTCCCTGCCCATCTGTGGCACCCAAGATGGGAGAATTAGAATAAAGCATCAGGATCCAGTTTCAGGGCTTCCAGGAGGCTTCCTGGAGACTCATTTCTGAAGCCAGTGTCTTTGCCTTCACTTTCCCACTAGGTGGAAGAGGAGGATGGAGTATGGTGGAGGAAAGCCTCTGCCTGTCCATTGCCAATATTCAAGCCAACAAAACCTGCGTAGGACTGCTTTGTTTTTTTAGAATTCTCTGTATTCTTATTTGTGAAGTTGTACAAGTGTCTTTCTAACCTTTGTGTTTCTGGAGTTTCAAAGCTCAGATTTCTTCAGATAAGGAAGGGGGAAGAGCCCAGGCCACATTCTGAGCTTCAAGATATTATGACACCTACTGTTATTTCGGATGGCAGAGTATCTGGGTTACTACCCCCTACCAGTGCACACACACATCTGCATGTCTTCTCTCAGGCTCTAGGGCAGTGACTTCACCTAGGGTTTCTAAATAAGCTACAGGAGGCTCTTCAAGCCCTGAAAGTATATACAAGATAATGTGTGTGGTTTCTTTTTTTTCTCCAGAAAAGGCTCCAGTAGTTCTGACTGGAGCCAGAACTAGTTTAGGAACTACTACTAGATAATGGATGACTAACCTCATGCCTATTCTGTCCTTGTGAGTGTCCTTTTTGTTAACCACACTGTTTAGATTTGCATGAGCTGAAGAGAGAACAGAGCTCTTATAGATAAAGTGTAATCATGCAGTTTCTGTGTGTGAGATTAACGGATCTTTCCCCACCTCTTACCCCTGTATCTTACAAGGGTGACCCCAGAAGCTGTACTATTCTGTGGGTTTGGGAATAGTGATTTCCCAGGAAAGTCCATTTGGATTCATTGCTAACTCTGACATTTTCTCTGGGCTGCAGTGACACATTGCCACATGGGTAGGGTGTAGTGTTCACAGAGCCCAAACCAGGATGATCGTGATGTCTTTGTACAGGAGGAAAGGGGAACATGAGATGCCAGGCAGTCTGGGAACTTCTGAGGGTGTTACACCCTGAAGGAGTCAGTAAGAACTGAACCGTGATCAGTTTCCCCTTGGTAGAATCATGTGCATGTATCTGCCTCTGTGTGCATGTGTGAAAGTCCCTCTCGGTGTGTATATACTTGTGGGCACCTATATTTGATATCTTTCCTCATCTCACAAAGTCCTCTGGGAAGCAGTGGTGGTAATATTGTTTCCAAGGACACATGGAATTCTTAATGCCAGATTAATGAGTTATTCGGAATGAACCATTTTAGCCCCCATTGAGAAATACAGGAACCATAAGTATCTTGGCTGCTGTGGTTGTGCTGCTCATCTCTCGTGGCATCATTGCAGTCATGCATGGCCTCTATTTCCCTCACTGAAGAACTTTAGCTCAGGCATCTGTGCTGACTTCGGTAGGTAGCAGCTTCATGAAGGAGGAAACTGTTCAGTGACTGATAAAAGCTGGCATGCAGGAGGCCAATTTTTAGAATTTTTTGGTTTGTGCCTGTTTTAGTATCTCAAAACCAAGAAAACCATAGAATAAATCCTCTCGTGTGTACATGCTGGTGTTTTAGTAGCCATTTGTTCTGATAAAGTATCAGTTACTTCAAGTTTTATGCAAAAGTTTTTAAATTAGATTCAAAATATCTTTTGGTACACTTCTACTTCATTATAAGACAAATACAATGTAAAAGAAGAGCAAGGAACTGCCTTGCCCTGCTGTTTCTTGAGTTTGAGAGGAGGTTGTTTCTTACTACTACTCCTGCTTTTGTGGGGAAAAGTTTTCTCAGAAGAGTTAGTGGTTGGCTGTTTAGCTAATGGCTTACATATCATTTACAGATACAACTGTTGCTTTTCAGGTATTTGCCTAACAAAGGTTTTGTTCTATCAGTTTTTTCAAGTAGATGATACAATGGACAACTGTAGAGACGAGGTATGTGGCTGATGTGGTGAGAGCAGGTGTACACTTAGAAGAATGATTGGTATTTTAGGGAGCGGAATTCATTGGAGGTTGAAGTGTAGTATGATGTGGAATTTGAGCAGTACATATTCTCTGGTTTGCTCTGTTAAGTGCAGTTTCCATATGCTGACTTAGAAATACTATTCTTGTCACCTGAAGGAGAGCTCCTAGGATTATTATGAAAGTCATGCCTGCCATATTTATCAGATTCATCTCTCTACGAAGTCATTAGGATCCTTGATGTTTAAGAGTAGTAGTCAGATGAGGAGAGAAACTGGTGGAGGAGATCAGGGCTCTACTGAGTTCCATGCAAGTGAGTTGCAATCCTCATATAAACCAAACCCACTACTTAACAGGCAGTAACCCTCTACCTTCTCCATCCTCAAATACATGGACTTGCCAGGTCTTTCCCAGATTTGCTCTAAACTCAAGTTAGTAGCTAAATAATTGGAGCCTGACAGGGTCAAGGAAGAAAAATGTTGAAGATCTCTCTTCTGTTAAAGAGAAATATGTGGCCTAAGCTGCTCCATTTTTGATTTCTGATTTTTTTTTAAACATGGAATATGATTTAGAAGAAGGATGAGATTAGATGACATTTGACTGCAAAAAATGTTTATAAATAAACAGCCTAGCCTTACATTTTGGTATAAAGTTGTGAACTTCATAACTTTGTAAAGCAAGATATAATGCAAATACAGAGGAAAATAAAATACTTTTACTAATGACTGTTTACTTGTATAATCTTGTCTGCATATTCACAGTCAGCCCTTTCTTTTCTGGCATAGAAAATCAGAAGAAACTGGATGGGAACCACAAGATGCTCATAGATGGGCTGCAGACCATGCTCCAAATAAGCTTGTCAAAGGTCAGCCTGCAGAGGAGCTCTGATTAAAAAACGGCATTGCTGTTCCATTGCCCTGGTCACTCCCTCCAGTCACAGGCCACCCATTTTCTACACCAACTATTCCGCCTTGTTCCTTCTATATCTTGGGAAGTATCTGAGTGGTTCCTGTACTTAAGAAATAACAATAGGTATGTTTTAATGGGCTTAAAGGCTTGTTTTTGTCTGAATTTCTGTTTTATTCTGGAATTAGGGCTTTCTGCAGGTGATAGGTGAATGTTGACTGGAAACTGTGGCCATGCTGTGTTGTCTAAATGTGAGGGCAAAAAAGAAAACAGTGGAACCAGCCATACACATGCTTTTATTTAGATCAACTCTGCAGAATGCAGCCAAACTTGTGAGTCAGAAACCCAAAGTATCCAGCTCTATACCACTGAGTTAGTGTAGCCCAGAGTGGGCCACCTTAAAACAGGCAGATCCAAGTAGAAGTTTGGTTACTCCCACAGTGAGGCGAGTGGAGGGTGAGGACAGCCATTGGCATGTGCTTCTGCAAACAGCCTGATGCAAGCTGAGGCTGCTCAGAATCAGCAGACCCCTCGGCGAGGCCACCTACCATTGAGGCACACACTTGCCTTTATGTGGCAAAGTGACAAAGCTGTTCTCCCAACGGTCAGGCTAGTCATGCTAAATGACAATATGGACCAAAATGGAGGAGGGACAAGAACAAGGAGGTCCCTGGAGGCCTTGTGGGGTTAGCTGCTGGGTCCTTTGAGGTAAGTGGCTCTAGCTATCCTGGGTAGACTGACTCCTGTGAGAGGTCCTGCATGACCTTGGCTAAGGCCAGCTGGGTTCAGGCGTACATGGTGAGCTGTAGCCACTGAAAGAGGAAATTCCAGGGTCAGAGTGTAGACCTTAGCTGTAGGGATCTTATGGGATGGAATATTTTCAAAGGACCAGTGGTTTATCACAGACTTTTTCTCCATATGTATTTCTGAGAAACATGGAAGCTGAGGCCTCTGGAGCCCTCCTCTGTACCTGTCTGTGAGTCACATTTCCTGCCAGGCTTCCCTCTGTTCCCTTCCTATCCCATGCCTCCCCCAGTCCTTGGAAATGGGAAGCACACAGTGGGTCCTGTTGGCCTCATTCATTCCTCCACCTTGAATTGCACGGTGCAGAGAAGGTGTCCATTATGTTTTACCTCTAGAACATTGAGTTTGATGATACCATCTCCATCCTTGTCAAATGCATTGAAAGCTCCTGCAGGAAAGAACACACAGATCAGAGACCAGTTACAGGTTCACTCTGCCTCTGCTGCTGGAACTTTTCTTAAGGGGGTGTTGTCTGCAGGCATAGTGTCATCAGTAACCCTGCCATGGATGGTCAGGCGGAGATTCCTACTGCTTCAATGTCCCTGTGGGATGGGGCTGGCCCACTTACGGAACATGCCCTCCAGCCTGACAAAGCAGCAGATGAAGCTGTCGAAGTCGATATTCATGTGTCTGTCTGCGTAACGCATGGTGATGATGTTGTAGAGCTGGCTGTTGAGATGGAAGCCTGCCGAGAGGGGTTAGAGGAGAAGCGAAGTTGGAATCCACATGCCTGCATTCCGTTCCCCTGCCCCATGGCCACCCTGGCTTCAGGACAGAGTCCCCTCCTTTTTCTAGAAGGGCCCTAGCAGCCTGATTCCCCCTCTCCTCCCACCACCTGCATCGTTCACTGCATTGCGCATCTCGTGGCTGTTGATGGTGCCGGACTGATCTGTGTCGTAGTGTTTGAAGATTTTCTGGCAATAAAGAATTTGAGGATAGAGGTCACACGCTGAATCCCTGAATCAGCCCCCACCTTCAGTCCCGTGCTCATTCTCATCCCACCTGCCAGGCCTTGATCTTCTTCCACAGGTGATGAAACTCTTGCAGGTTCAGCCTCCCAGAGCCATCTGTCTGAGGAGTGAGGTCAGGTCTACAGGCACATGGCAAAGTCCCCCTGGACGTGGAGGGGCGGCCCATAGGAAGCCTCCGCATGGGCTTCCTACCCACTGTCCTGTTCTGTCCTTGACCCTCCCCTCCACCCCCACCAGTCCAAGTTCCCACTGGCTCAGTAACCCATGGAATCTGTCTGAGGAGTGAGGTCAGGTCTACAGGCACATGGCAAAGTCCCCCTGGACGTGGAGGGGCGGCCCATAGGAAGCCTCCGCATGGGCTTCCTACCCACTGTCCTGTTCTGTCCTTGACCCTCCCCTCCACCCCCACCAGTCCAAGTTCCCTGTCTTTAAGGACCCCTCTGACTTGGAAGAATCCCAGGTAAACCCTCAGGCTGAGGTAAGAGCTGGCGATAGATGGCCAGGTACAATTCATGGCTTTCCCTTCTCCCCCTTTCAGACTGCCATCTGGTGCTGAGTCAGGTTCTCTTTCCTTGGGAACGAATTTGGGTCTTCTGTCTGACTGGACACCTGGACACCCCTAGTATGTCCCTGGCCCTGGTGAGGAGAAGCCAGAGAGTTGGGAGGGGATGGCAGGAAGGATACATCCATGAGGGCAATCATGCTACGGCAGGACTCCAGCGTGAACCCTTGTGCCTTCAGGTCCTTATCTGGGGAACAGAGAAGAGTGAGGGGCTGCTGTGCGACAGCTGGGCCCCCTGCACATCCCCCCCATGTGATTTGAGTTGCTCACGTTTGTTTACAACAGAGTTAAGGACATTCTTGAGCTCATCTGCAGAGATCTCCATGTCCTCAGGAGGAAGAGAAGAGAGTCATGGTTCACAAGGAGAGCAGCTAAAAAGCAGAAGCATTGCAAAGCAATCCCCGCTGTCCACATTTGTAACATCCCTGTTGGTGCTGTTCTACAAGGGGAGCTGGGGCTATGTGAGGCAGGCAGAGGCCCAGATACTGCGCCCCTGGCTCTTTCCTGTAGTGGGCAGTCACAGCCACCCAGCAGATGTGTCAGTAGAAGCTCAAGGACCTGGGGATTTGGTGCTGTGCAGAACACAAGTGCGCTCCTGCGGGCCCCCTGGGTTGGAGGTACTTACATCACCTGCTATCTGCTTGAAAATGTTGCGAAATTGCTGCTGTTCCTCACTTTCGTGGTCAGTGTTGCCAGGCGGTGGCTGTGGAAGTACAAAGGAAAATTGGTTCACAGGAATCAGGGATGAGTGAGTTGGGAGAAAAGCCAGAAAGACACCAGGGTCCCCGAAACAGATGCAGGTGGCAGCAGGAGCCAGCATCAAGCTGATTAATGCTCTTTGCAGTCCATCCTGGTGAGCTGGAGTGAGAATCAAGCCCTCATAGCTCTTCACATCTCACCAGGCCTGCCACCTCACGTGTGAGCCTACTGACATGCAGACGTCACCCCCTGGGTCCTCCCCAGCTAGAGCCTTCATTCTGGAACCCGATCATTCCCCCCAAATTGCCCCACAGCTCAGAAGGGTAGAGCTTTCTGATTCCCCTAGCACCTGTCATCAAGGTCAAGTTCTTGAGGATCCCTCTCCCCCTCCACTGAGGGGCAGCCCAGGACAGAGGACCCCTCAGCCTCATATTCTCTAGGATACATGTGACCACACCTTCCCACTCCAATATGACATCTTCCCCTGAGTCTGGAGGAGTCTGTGTCTGATGTCACACCCCCCCCCCTTGCTTCTACTATTCTTGTCTACTCTTGTCAAGAGCTTGAGCCAGGAATATAGCTTAGTGGCACAAGTGCCTGCCTGGCCAAGTGTGAGGTTGTGAGTTCAATTCCGGGTTCCCAGAAGCAAAACAACAACCAAAAAAACGCTTGAGGACTGAAGACATTGGTACAGTCTCTGCTTTCTCCGGCTGTTCTCTCAGCCTTTGCCACCACCCTTTCTTGCTGTCCTGGCTGAGAGCTCCAGTGGGGGAGGCTCAACTTGTCATTTTAGTGCTAAGACCAGTTTGGTGTGGCAGTCAACCCTCAAGATATGCACCCAAGCAGCAGGCCAAGTTTAGAGGAACCTACATGACAAAAGGGTCAGTACGACAATTCAAACCCTGCGTGTTTGAGACCTCCCTGGCAACCCCTCCACCGCCACACACCCAGGAGCACTGGTGGCCCTCTGAGTGCACAGTGCTAGCCCCCCCATGCATGCCACATGCTCAGAAACCTGTGGGGATTTCTCCTGTTTATCAGGGCTTGCTTTGTCTTTGCCCTCCTCTGACTCGTGGTCCACACCCAGCTCCTTGTTGCTGTTTGCTCTGTCTGAAACGAAGATGATGGGCTGGAGAGAGGAGGGAGATGGGAGGGGCAGGAAGGAAGCAAGGGTTACAGGCCGAGTGGCACACAGAGGCACTGCCCCAGCAGCTGTGTCTAGAGAGAAGAAAAACCTCAGTTCAAGCTCCAGCTCTGCTGCCAGCAAGGTGTGTGGCAGGGTAAAGATGCCACACTTCTGTGGGCTTTAGTACTTGTCTTTTGATACCCATTCCAGCGGTCCTCGGGGAAGAGTCACACAGGTGCCACCACAGGTGGCACATCCAGAAACGCGGAGACTGCTAAAAGCAGGATGACCTTGGGCTATGGTTTTAAAATATTCCATCGACTTTTTCTTAATGGAAATAACTTCAAATTACAGAAGTCTAGCGTAAAGCCATTATGAACAGAGCTTGGATTGAGGCAAGCAGAGCTCTTTGCCCTCAGTACCCACATCACCACGATGGCAACCAGAGAATCTCCAGAGAGACACAGAGTGAGACTGAGAAAAGACTGATAAGTGGCAGGATCCATGCATGGTCACAACACCAACCAGCCCTGCTCTTCGGGGAGAAATGTCTTCACTAGCTCAATTGCTCAGCCATTAAAGGGGATGCTTTTTCCTCCTCCTAAAGCTCTGATGGGGATCAAATGAGATGCTGAATGTAAAATTGTACTGAAAAAACATTCAAAGTGCTACACAAATATCAGGAATATTTTCAGGATACACTCATGCAAGAGGAAACGGAGTGGAGATGTTATGCCAGCAGGCAGGCTGTTCGCCACATAGCAGAAGGCATCACTGGGGTTTGGAGGCTGCTGTTCAGAGAACCGTTGGACAAGCAGCTTCAGAGCAGACCAAGGGAGACCCCAGAGTCTCCCCGTGCTACTTATTGGTCAAGGCCGAGTCAGGGAAGAGCCTATGAAAATAGCTCCCCTGCCTCTGGCTCTGAGCAGGCCCCAAAGCCCTTGCTCTGCCTTCTAAGCAAAGGTCTTGCCCAAGCAATGGGAGCTCATGTAAGTCACAGTCTGTAGGGGAATGTGCCAGCGGCATGGGGTAGTCACAAAGTGTCCCTGCCTGCTATACTTATCTAGCCCAAGTACAGGTCTAGACTACACAGGTCTAAGAGAAGTGGGGTCAGGAAACCCAGGTTTGTAGTAGACAAATAGTTTTGATTTCAGTTCCCTCATTGGTTGTGTGCATTTGGAGAAGTCACTCATTTCTCAGGAATGTCCCCTCTGAATCTGTCCTCTTGTCTATAAAAGGGAAATGATAGCACCTACTCCACTACCCAAAGGATGCTGTAAAAGAAGCGTCATCAACTGCACTGTGCTTGGCCAGTGGTGGCTTTAGTCTGGAGCAGTGCTGATATTGGGAGAAGCCCTGTATTGGGTCCCCCAGGCATAAAAACGAACCATAAAAATGAACACCAAACCCCTGATGGCAGGTTTTAGACCAGGGTTCAATCTGTGGACCAAGAGTGTGGCTCTGGTGCTAACCCTGCCTTGTTAGTTTATACCTTTGCTCCTTCCTGAAAATGAGGATCAGTAATGGCGCCAGTTTCCTAGAATATTCATGAGGACTAAGTTAACCCCCAGACAGCAGCCAGGAGCATGTTCAGCATAATGTCCTCTCAGTGGTACCAGCTTTCACTGTCACACAGCCCCAGCAGGAACTTGGTAGAGCAGAGGAAGGCAAGTCTGGTGCATACATGCACATGAGCACCTAAACACATGCACATGTACACATGGGTACACACATGCATGCTCCGCCTACTCACCCTGTTACACTCACCTTGGGCTTTTTCTTTTTCTAGATAAAAAGAACAGTACATGCAAATAAGAGAAAAGCAAGTTCCCAGAATGGCCAGTGCCTTTGGGATTCCCTATGTACTGATCCTTAGTTTGGGATGAGGCTTAGGGTCCAAATATCTGGATTATTTGGCACTAAAAAGGGCACAGGGTGGGGGTGAAGAGAGGGCATAGTTCTTCCTTCTTTCTCCCCCATGTCCAGAGACCGCTAACTTTTAAAAATGGTCACTAAAACCTTGAAAATAGTCTCAGCATTCTGGAGGCTGAGACAAGAGGATTGCTGTGAGTTTGAGGCCAGCATAAACTACATGGTTCAAAGCCAGCCTGAACTGCATAGTGAAACCCTGTCCCCCCCCCAAAAAAAAACCCCCAAAAACCAAATAAACAAAATACATAAAAAATGTGGCTCACTCAAACTGGCTTGAAAATGAGTTTATCTTATAGGTTTTTTAAAAAAAATTTTGAGCAGTAGTCAGGCATAGTGGTGCACGCCTGTAATCCCAGCACACGGGAGGCTGAGGCAGGAGGATTGTTATGAGTTTGAGACCAAGCTAGGCTACAAAGTGAGCTCAAGGCCAGCCTGAACTGCCTAGCGAGTTCCTGCCTCAAAAAGACAAAAAATTTTGAGCAAACATTTAAAATATGGAGACTTAAGATGTAAACTGGGATTTGTGGCTACTTTTGTAAAGTTACCCCTATAGCAACAATCAGCTGAGCTGGGCATGTCATCACTCTTCAGAATGCCACCAGTGGCTGCCACTCCTGTGGTCCCTTCAACATGGAAGCCAAGTGTCACTGTAGAGCTATAGATAAGTATGGCAGCATGGACCCCAATACCCCTACACCTTCCTGATTGCTCAGGTAGGTAACATGCTGGCTCCCATCAGATTTCCAGTGTGAGACTTGATAAATACTGTACACTGGTTACCAGTGTCCTAAGGAGAGAGCACAGCCAAATGCATGTGACACTGAAACCAAACACCTGTCCCAGTTCTGAAGACGGATTTGGAGATGTAACTGGCATATGGTTGGGATATCATCACTTGGAATGCAGTTCAGTGGGACATCTGTCCTCCCTGAGCTCAGGGGATTGTTTACTAACCCAAAGCCCAAATGAAACACATGACTGCTCAATACAGAGACCCGAAGCCACCTAGATCTGTGCTGCTGACCTTGCGCTTCTCAGCTCTGGGGCTGGCCCCAGCATGGAGGTGAACTCAAGAATGTGCACATGAATTCAGCCCCACTTGTCACTTACTGGCCCCATGAACACAAGTCATTCAACTCTACTGAGCCTCTACTCTCTGGCTTGAAAGGCAGGGGAGATAATTTCTCTTCTCAGAAAACAATCTTGGAAGGATCCAGTGAGATAACACATATAGAAAGTAACATGCCAGTTGTAAAATAAAGGATAAATTCTATTTGAGTGTCCATGCTGTGCCAAACACTTCACATATAGTCAAACTTAACATGTTTATGATGCTATAATTTATGTCTTGCAGCCGGGAGGCTCTGAACCACAGGTGGTACACACTTGACTGTCCCATTGGAAGGCATAGGACAGTCTCACTGGCTGGGACAAGTCACTCATAGGGAAAATTATGCATATACCAACAGTAGTGCAAGCTGGTGAGCACATGTAAATTTCACAAAACACTGCCAGGCCCATTATTCCTGTTCTGAAGAATAAGAAACTGAGTCAGGGGAAGGTTTATAACTTATGCAGGCCACCAGCTAGTAGAAGGCTCTGACACTGGGTGCACAGTAAGTATACTTCCTTCTGTGTAACACAAATCTACTTTTTTGTTGTTTGTCTTTTTGAGACAGGGTCTCTCTATGCAGTCCAGGCTGCCTTGGGCTCACTTGTAGACAGGCTGGTCTCAAACTCCCAACAATCCTCTTGCCTCAGCCTCCTGAGTGCTGGGATTACAGGCATGAGCCACGATGCCTGGTTAGAAATCCACTGTTGTCTAATCTCATAATCAGGGTAGCTGTTGTTCTTGTCATCATCCCTTCCTATGGCTTTGTTCCCTCCTAATTGTTGAGACTGCTTCTTCTCTCTCCCACACTTCCCAGTGCTGAACTGATAAACAGTCCTAAGATCGTCAGACCCATTACTTTTGGCCATGCCAAGCAGAAGCTACGGTGACATGGCGTAACTGTCCCACACAGCCCAACTCCCATCTCCCTCTGCCCACATCCATCCACCTCACCACCAGTCAGCCCCCTGCAGGGTTTGGAAAGTGACCCTCTGGACCTTTGCACACATAAAACCAAAACACTCACCACTGGTCGATCCACTGAGATTGTGTTTTCAACTTCCCTGTGAGAAACACAAATGTGGGTGTCTCAGTGTCACCAGGAACAAAGAGGAAGCACATGGAGGATTTCCTCAAGTCACATGACTTTCTGGTGCCCAAATTGGTACTGATCTTAAGAGAACCCCTGAAACTGAACCTTCCCCCCAGCCACCAGCTCCATGTGGGCAGCATCCCCAGCAATCCAGCCTGGGCCCAGCCAGCGACCCACGGACCCTGTGCTGCTTCTCGAAATGGACACCACGATGACCAAGCTAATGTGGACCTGCTGGCTTCCCTTGCCACACTAAGCTAAAATTTTAATCACATCCACTTCTTGGAGCTATATGCCTTTCCTATTTTATTTTCACTTTTCAATTTCTTTTCCGAGTCTAGCATACTAATATATATAGTAAATATAGTAAACTTTTTAGAGACAAGCTCCCAAATTGCAACCCAAATCCCACTTATTTATGACGAATTGCCTAAACTGCAGTTATACCTGCTTTTAGTTTAGAAAAAACAACCCATACATCTTTTGTCTTAAAAGAAAATTAACACACATGCCAGTGATTCACCACCACCTCTCTGAGTGTTAAACTTCATGAGGCAGAGCACTTTTCTATCCCCCAGTGCCTAGAAGAGTGCCTGGGACATAGTAGATGCTCCATAAATATCTGTGAGAGGAATGAATCAGCGATAGGGAGATGTGGCAGCAGACAGAGAAGAGATGCAGACTGCCCAATGCATCCCAGGAAGCTGGAGGAAACCTAGCTACTTCTGCCTCCAGACTTTAGAATGGGTCATATGAGCTTCTAGGGACAGATGAGGAAAGCCAGGCAGGACTCACTCAGAGAGATTCCTCTTTTCAGAGAAGACCCGGAGGATGAATTCTCCTTCCTGGTGGGGCTCGTAGGTGGAGGGCACGATGACGTACTCGCTGGGAGGCAGGCGGAAGCGCTGGGACACCTCTCGCATGTTGATGTAGGTTTTGCTCCTGGCCCTGGAGGCGTTGTACAGGAAGAAATCTTTCTGCAGGTGCTGCTTGTTCCCGTGCATCTGGGGACAGAGGAGCCCACTGGACCTGAAGCCCTTGGAGGCTTACCCCATCCTGCTCACAGTCCCTTCCAGCTGTCCCTTCCCAAATTCTGGGCAGAGACTGATCCACCTACTGCCAGTCCAAAGGTCTCAGCCAGCTCAGCATCCCCGGAGCTCCCTGTTTCCCTTCCTCTCCTTTCTGCTGAGATTCCGAAGTGAAGGTCGGGTCCATCGCCCCACATACAAGGCACTTACCAGGACAGCTGCTTGTCACCCGCGTCCCCTCAGGCTGCAAAGGCCCTCAAGGCTAGGTTCTGAGGGAGGTGACTCCTCCTCCCCAGAGAGAGCAGCCCCCCTCAGGACATGTGTGTGAGTATATACGTTCATGAGCATGAAAGCAGGTGTGACGGGGTTGTATGAGGGGCAGTGTCAGGTGGGAGGATGAAAGTGTACACCGTGCCACAGTCCTACCCACAAACCCCACAAGAAGCTCCTGGCAAGCCAGACAGACTTGGGACCCCAGTGAATGCTGCACACAATCGCTGCCGCTGCCACTGCTGTACCTCTTTGGGAACCTTGGGGAGAAACAGAAGAGGCCTCAGAGCTGAGCGAGGAGGAAGAGCCGGCAGGAGGGAAGCACAGCAGTCCTAAAGAGTGGTCGGACTCTGACTCCCCCTCGCCTGCCCTGCCAGCCTGGTCTCCCCCGCACTGCAGCCCTCGCATTTTCTGCTTGTCAAGGACAGAAGCTGCCCTGGGGAAGCTCCCCTGCCCCTCTTCCCATGAAGGCGATGTTTCCTGTGCCAGAGCCTAACCAGGGTCCACACACCTCATAGATGGCGAAGCCGATGGTGAAGAGGTTGGCGCCCAGCTTTCGATCCTTCCGGCGGTTCTTCTGCATCAGAGCCACCAGGAAGCTGCAGATAACCTCAGAGTCATCAGGGTCATCGTCCTCCTCCAGGAGCTTCAGACGGTACTGTGGATTGGTCCAGAAAGTGTCTGTGCACCCAGAAAGGAAATACAAGTTCAGAGCTCCCTCTTGCAGAAAGTGCAGGAAGGAAATGAGAGAGGACTCATCTCTATCCCCTATGGATGGTTAATTTAGGTGTCATTTTGCCTGGATTTACAGCCAGAGGGTGTCTGTGTCTGTGAGTGTTTCCAGAGGACAGCACCCCGTGAACTGTGGACTGAAGGGGAAGATGCACTGATGGGGGATCACATAGAACAAAAGGGAAGAAAAGAATTTCCCTTCTGGATCCAGGCGTGGTGCTGTATGTTTGTGATCCCAGCACTTGGGAAACTGAGGAAGGGGGATGGCCGAAAATTCCAGGCTAACCTGGCTAACCTAGGCCAGCTTGGACCACATAGTGAAACCCATTTCTCCTCTCTTTCCTGGAGCTGGGCACTCTTCTGCCACTGGACATCAGAACTCCAGGATTGCTGGCTTTTGTACTCCAGAACATGCATCATACCACACTCCATCCCAACGCCCACGCTTGCTGGTGTCTCAGGGTCTCAGTTTGCCCATGGCCTGTCGTGGGACTTAGACAGGATCATGTAAATCAATTCCCCTGATGAATTCTCTCTGTTCACCAGTCCTATTGGTTCTGCCTTTTTGGTGAACCCCAACTAATACTAGGTGCTCAGTAAATGCCTATGGAAAAAAGTGCGTCAGGCATTTGTCCAGCTATTTGGTGGGTGAAACCTCTACCTTATGCAGATGGAGTTGTGTGCACTGGATGTGTAGGTCTTCCTTCTCTCAACTTGCATTCTAGCCTTTACTGAAATCTTTACTTTTCTCACCTGCACCAAAATGTTGTGGGTCCCTAGGATCAGGTCTTAAGTCTCTTGTGCTCTCCACTGCCTATCCCGCTTCCCCAGTGTTACCTAGATCCACAGTTTACTTCACCCTGTATGTGGACAGCACCTGAGGTACACGTCTGCTCCGTCTCTGCTGCCTCCTTCCCTTCCTTCTTCCTTTTGTTTCTTTCTTGATTCCTCCCTTCTCCACCCCGCCCTCCTTTCCTTCCTTCTTTCTTCCTTTCTTTACTTTCTTCCTTCCATACTTAATGAGTCTGTATCATATAGCCACATACTTTCCTAATATGTGCATCTAATTCTTTTTGTTTTGGGTGCTGGGGATTCAACTCATGACTGTGTACTTGCAAGGCAGGCACTTACGCTGCTGAGCTAGATCCCCAGCCCCTATGTGCATCTAGTTCTATATTGCAAACACCACAAGTCTTTTTTTCCTCCACATTTCTCATCTGGCAATACTGACACTGCTTGCTTGGGTCCCTGCACAGAAAACTTGGCATCATTCTTCACTCTTGCCACACCAACCAGTCTCCTCTCTCCTGGATCTACCTGCTCCCATCCCGTCTCTACAGCTGCAAACCTGACCTCAGCTTTCAGCTGCTCTGACCTGAGAGATTCCTCTAGGACTATCTTCAACACAAAGGACCCCAATAATACTATTCTGACAGTTTCCTGTATTTTTATCAACTCCCTGCTGCAAACTCCTCAGTGTGGCAGCTTTCTTTCTCAGCAAAATGGGAAGGATTTAATGAGACAGTGGCTGTCCGGAGCCTGGTAGAGACTCGGTGCATGACTGTGAGGATGGTTCTACCTGGGACTTGGGCTGCTCAGACCCTTCCCCCTCCAAGAGTATCTCCCACCTGGGAAGTTGCGGCAGCCTCCAGCAGAGCAGCCCCTCACCCAGCGGCCCTCATTCACCGACACTGTCCACGTTTGCAGCTTGTCAGATTCCAGGGCGTCAGCAGTCAGGTTGCAGATCTCCAGCTTTGTGAAGTGGAAGGTGAAGTCATCATATGACATCCTGAAAGGGGCAAGAGAGAGAGCCACAGGGGACCAGATAAGGAGAGTCTGGGAGAGGGCAGACCCCAGGGCCAACACGACCCAGGAAATGAGTTCAGAGAACCTTGGTTGTGTCTCAGCAGATCATGCCCTTCCTATGTAGCAGAGATACCCTCAGTTCTAATGCATCCGGCCTCAGCTACCCTCCAGTCTTTTAGTAATGACTCAAACTCATATGTCCTTGATGGGACAGCTTGAAAGAAATTCAGTTCTCCAAAAAGTTGAAAGAGTAGTTATTTGGGAAAAACCATTAAGTGAGTGATTTTAAGGGTAACAAGCAACACAAATGAACCTTGAGAGTCCTGAATGAAGTTGCTGTTAATCTGCTGTCAGAAGCCTGCATAGGCAAGTGAGGCTGAGGGCAGCTGAGAGAGATCAGCATTTCCTAGGCTCAGTAAGGAGCTGTGTTAGGCCAGGCAGCAAGTGACAGGAGCAAGAGCTGCCTCCTGCTGGCCTGGTCCTCACTATGACCTAACACTCCAGTCTCTGGCTGGAGGAGGACAGGCCCAGATCTCCCTAGGCCTAGACTCTGACAGCCTCTGGGGGACTGAGGTCAGAGACTGCACCTCCCTAACACATCCCGTACCCTCCTGAGTCTTCCTAGATCTGAGACTCACCAGAACTCTCCATCCTCAGTGACCTGGTGCTGAAGACGAGCCTTTTCATCTTTGTCCACAAAGCTCCAGTCCTTCCAGCTGGTGGGGAGGTGGGGGAGTTATGGAAGGAAGAAGAAGGGAAAGCTTTATGTGGGGTGGGGCAGGAGCTGTCAGAGAAATGTGGAGTTGAAGAAATAGCCCATCTCTCAATTGCAGCCCATGTGAGCCTCTAAAACGTTGATCTGATCTGTTGCTCTCAGTGCAAATTGCTTCCTGTGAGGCCTTTTAACATGCTGGAGCCTCTGGTCTAGTCCTTTCAGTGACAAGCAATACATTGCTGTCAAAGCATATGCCTTTGTATATGGATAATGAAGGCCTGGAAATCTGAGCACCAGCTAAGCACTTTGCAAAAACATCTACTTATAACAACTCACACTGTAAGTGCTAATATTATTCCCCCTTTAAGATAAGGTAAAGAGGTTCCAAAAAGGGACGTTGCTTGTGCTGTTCAGACCCTAAGACTCTGCTTGCCCCGGGCATCATCTAAGCTTTCTGGGGTCCTTCCCCTCCAGTCTATGGCTGTCTGCAGCGTCTTGGGATTCCTGGCTCCCCACACCTGGACCCTTATCCTCTGTAGGTCTTCGGGTTTTGAAGGTGATTTATACCAGTTTGCTCTCACTGGTGGCTGCCTGTACCTGTCACTCCAAGAGCCGTTCCACTCCACCTGGCCCCAGGGGTTCCGCAGTCTCACCAGTTTCACTTTCTCCCCTTTGAACAGGGCCTGGGGCAGAAGGAAAGAAGCTCTCTGAGCCGTCTGCAAAGGGGGCTCTTGTCTCACCTGAACTGGGGAGGGGACCGAGCCCCCTCCCTAGAGGGCTGTCCTGATTGGCTGGCTGAGGAGACTATTGGAAGCTGCCTGTGGATGCCATGTGAGGGGTCACAACCTTAGGACTGAGTCATAAGGGATGAGTTCTGGCGCTGCTATCTTCTAGGAGGTGATTTTCCTGGAGAACTTGGCAGTCATTATGAGCTTTGGGGGGAGGGAGGAAGGGAGGTGGGTTCTGCAGGGGCTGTTGACACATCTGGTATCTGCGTGAATTTTTAAGAAGGGCTCTATTGGCTGAGGAGTCTCAGACAAAAGGCACCTCTAGATGGGTCAAGTAGAAAAGGTGTCCCTTCCCTCCAGTCTGCTGTAACGCGTTGATATCTTTCTGCCTGTGCCTTTGCTCAGGGCACAACCTGCCTAATTGTGCCACATTCAGCCAATGTTCCTGTCTCTGACATGTACCAGGGAAGCCCATTGTGCCAGAGGGACATTGTAACTGTAGGAACCTGAGAAAGCAGAACACGTGGGAACACAGGAAACCACATTGATAGAACAAAAGTGACATTTCTGTTTGTTTCTTGGAAATATTGGAGAAATTGCTATTTTTCATCCTAAAAGCAAAGATAAAGTGAGCACTGTCTGTGGTAAAGCCTGTCTCTAGCAGGTCCCATGGGTGCCTCCCCACTCAGGCACCTGCTTGGACCTTGAGCAGATTCCTCGAATTGGTGGCAAGCTCTGCGGTCCGTGAAGGGTACAGAAAGCTAAGCCCTGACTCCAGGACATCAACCCATGTGGTCCTCATGCATCACCAGGTGCCCCAGGCTCACCTCCTCCAGTCCAGTGACCGAATAGGCATGGCCTTTGACCAGCCCGCAGGCCATTCTTGTCTCATACTGAACCGGAACAATTGTCTGTGGGGCAACAACCAGATGGTGGGTCAGGAGTTGTACAGCAGAGGTTCTGCATCATGGAGACCAAGTTCTCAGGGGTCCATTTTCTGGGTCCTGTGAGGATAGCCCTACTATGCTATCTGAAAGAGTACCTTATGACCCAACAGCAAACCTTTGCTGGCCCTGTAAGAGCATGGAGAAGACGTAGCTCAGACCAGCTGGTCACTGAGAAGGCTCTAGGAAAACTCTGTCCTGATGCACAGGTGATAAGGAAGACCCTGCGATGTGGGACAGATGGCAGCTTCCCTTAGGGTCCTTCACAGGAGGCAGGGAGATGGCTGGGCTTCCTAGACTGGGACTATTCTGGTTATATCCCTCAACTCTTGCACAACCACCAAGCACATGATGTTCAAGAAATCAAGAGTCACAGCACCCAGGGAGGGAATCCCAGGGAGCTCTGCTCAGACAGGACTGTGCTTAAGAGTGAAGAGGGGGCTCTTGTACAGGCAGACACGCCCACATTGCAGGCACAAGGGATCTGGGCAGAAGGGTAGTGTCGCAGAGCTCAAGAGGGCTAGACAGGCTGTTCAGGGATTTAGTAGCAGTCTAGTCACACAATAGTTCTAAGGAGAGCTGTAAGAGCCACGCGAGACTATGGAATTCTTGGAGACTTTTTCAGGGTGATTGGCGTGGGTATGTCAGGGCTTCTGGTGTTTCAGCCTCTCCTAGACCTCAGTCCTCCTGACACACAGCTGAGCAGAAAGGATGCAGCAGGACAAGTGCTCATCCTCAATTCTACACTTGAGGAGCAGGTGCTCAAAATGACTCTTGATATCACATAAGAGTATCATTCAACTAGGAATTATACTACTGAAAATCTGTCCTAGGGTACCATCATGGACATAAACAAGCATGTATCTATTGCAATGTTCATTGTAGCCAAAAAACAAAAAAAGAAAAAAAAAAGCTTTAAGTTTCCAATAATAGGGTATTGGTAAGTAAATTACAACATATCTGCCTGTTAGAATATTGTACAACTACTGAAAATTCTATATGAGAATATTCATTAGTAAGAATATAAACCAGGAGCTGGGGATTTAGCTCAGCAGCATAAGCACGTGCCTTGCAAGCACGGGGTCATGAGTTCGATCCCTGGTACCAATAAAAAAAAAAAAAAAAGAATATTAACTAACTTAAAAAGTCTGCAAAGAGGACCTTGTCTGCAAATGACAAGGTCCCAGTCTAGGAAGCCCAGCTTAAAATAAAAATATGTATTAAGCTTGGGGCATGGAAAAGTCCTGGAAAGATATATACAACAAATGTTAAGAGTGATTATATCAGAAAGAGGAACGTCAGTTAAATTTTCTTCTGTGTTTTTCTGTGAAATGCAGTGCACAACTTCTGAAAACACTGGAGCCCTCTCCGAGGGAGACCCTTGCTTTCTTCACTGGAGAAGTGAACCAAGGGGAAGGAATTCACGGTCTTGTGCTGGCTGCTGTGGGGCAGTGACAGCAGCAGGGAGAGGTCCTGACAGCCGGAGGTACACACCCGCGATGGTCTGTCATCTGAGCCTCTGGGGATGAGGTCTGAGTCCCTGAGCAGCGAGTTATCCATGTTCCTCACCATCCGTTTAATCAACTCCCCCATGTTCAGACCGGAAGGAGAGGTTCCATAGGTCATGTTCGTGCCATCCTGAGGCCCGACAGGGAGGGTGGGGGGCCCAAGAGAGGGGTGGGGGAGAGCAGACAAAGGAGGGAAGGGAAGGAGACAGAAAGAAGGGAAGGGGCAGAAAAGGGAAAAGAGATTAACAGAACATGAATGGAGAGAAGATGGAGAAAAGTGACACAGAAAGAAAATGTTCATCTGTGGTGTTTTAGGCTAACTGACCTTCCCCAGCTTTCTGTCCTTGGAGAGTGCTGGGAGAGAAAGCGGAAGGAATGAGCTCAGTCTCTTCCTCTCTCATGGAAGTCACCAAGATGGCTGACATGCAGGGAGGAGGGAAGATGCCTCTCCTGACACCGAGCAGGCCTGGTGTCCCTGGCCTGGTGTCTCCTCAGTTCCCTTCTCCCTTTGCCTGGCTGTGTTGCTGAGCGTGGACTGCAGGCTCACCCTCCACTCAACACAAAGCTTGTGTCTCTGGCAGCCAATGTGGCCAAAGCTCAATGATGTGGACATTTTCTTAGGGAAACTGTGGGCTCAGATCCCTAGCTAAGTATGTGGCCAGCTTTTGGGGACATGCTTAGAATAGAAGGTCCAGACAAGAGAGGCCCCCTCTGACATAGGCCTCAGGACCCACGTTCATCTAAATTTCAGGGCCAGAATATCCCTGCCCAATCACTTTATGAAATCCCCAGGAACACTTAAAAAACTCCCATTTTCCAAAGTTGAGAATCAGTCCTCTTTCTTGAAACAAAATATTCACCCTGTCCCAGAAGACTGTGCTGCCATTAACTGAGAGATTGGCTCCCTTGTCTTGTGGCACCACCTCCAACTTACATCAATGGAGCAGCCCATGAGGGAGCCTCTCTCGATGGCTTTCCTCATGATCCTGTACATGTCTCGTGGAGCATCCTTGATCTCAAAAAACTCCGTCACCCCTCCTGTGAAGTCCTCCATGGCCTCTGTGGTATTCCCACCTTTTAGGGCTTCATAAGAACCGTGGAGCCTTGGGGAAAGGACGAAGAACAACCTGGGGTTATGTAATTCTAGGAAAGATGGCCAGGTACCATGGCCCCAGAACTTTGCTCAGGTCCCATGATGTTGTTTCATGAAATCTCAGTTACATGAGCTAACGAGACAGATGGTTACTGTGATTTCTGTTCTTCCCAGTGACAGAGCTGAGCTCAAGAGGCCAAGTGACCCACCCAAGGCCATAGAGAGTCAGAAACATGGGTATTGTAGCCCAGTTTGCCCATTTCCTGGCAGCCCTTTCAACTGAAATGAGCTTCTCAGTAAAGCGATGACAACATGGTTTATGCTTAATAAAACTCATGACTTTGAGTCAAGCAAGATCATGAGATCTGAGCTCCAAAAATACAATGTTCTGATCCAAGATTTGCAAAACCACCAGAAAGGAAGAATTTAAGAGCTCACTATGGGAAGTTAAAGCTAAAGACCGTTCTTTCTTTCTTTTTTCCTTCCTTCCTTATCCTTGCCTCCTTTCCCCCTTTCTTCCTTCCCTTTACTGAGGTGGGGTCTCACCATTATCCTGGGGCTGGCCTTGAGCTTGCAATCCTTCTGCTCAGTCTCCTGAGTAGCTGAGATTACAGGTGTGTGCCACCACGCTCAGTTTCTCTGTCCTCCTGCATTTCCTCTCTTAAACTTAGTGTTCTTAGTTAGAGCTATTGCTGTCTGATCCACTGACTCTAACTCTGGGTCTCAGTTGAATTCCCGTAACACCTGTGAGGGCTTCCACACACACATGCATCTTGCTGGATTCTGCAGCCCCTGCCTCGCTGCCCACCTGCCTCACACGCTAATGTCATCTTACTTAGCGTAAGCCTTCTCCAGCAGAGCGCTCCAGAACTCATTGCGGTGGTTGGATTTGGTGAAGACGAGCTGATTGTTGTATGTTGGCAGGCAGTCATCAATAACCACATCCACCCAGTCACCATAGCGCCAGAACTGCACGGACACAGAAAGCAGAGACACATCCTCAGATTACCACTAGGAAGTACACCTTCCCTCCCATTTTCCATTAAGAGGTAGTCCAAAACAGTTCTGTTTCCTAGTTCAGCATATTGGTGTTGGATCATTTTTTTCTGGGACGTGTGATGTGGAACTCTATCTGGTCTGTGAGCTTCTTGAGGACAAGGACTGAGTTACCTACTGCCTAGTCTTCCACAGAGTATAGTTCAGATCTGAGTGCGATAGGTGCTCCTTGAATATGCTGGGACTTGAGATTTTCATTGCCCTGCGTGGGAGTTCTGGAGCAGGTCCCACATAGCATTTTGTGTACAAGAAGATTCTACCGTGCAGTGAGGACTGAGAGCTCCTAGTGTCTGTGAGGGTGTAGTATCCGTTAATCTGTTAAGTATTTCTCCTTTCTTTCTTTCTTTTTTTTTTTTTTTTTTTTTTTTTGCACTGGTGATTGAACTCACAACCTCAAGGTTTAAGTATTTCTTGATGAACAGTATCCTAGGAAATACCTGATCCTCACTTTCATTCTAGGCCAGCACCAATATTTGGCTCTATGGCAAAATTATTTGGACCCAGAAAGTTTCTAATGAATCTAGTATCAAGAGACTTAGTTCCAGGCCAACATAGAAATCTGATCTTCAAATTAACTAGAATTTTCTTCCAAGGTCTGGAAGAGGCAAGTGACAGACCTGTAGAAGTGCCTTATGGCTCGAAGGAAAAGGAGCTGTAGTTGCTGAACCAGAGTCCCCACAGTAGCCCATGGGGCCCCACTGCATGTATGGAGTTACTTGTGAAGGGCTGCAGGAAATAACTCAGCTGCCAGCTGGAGGGCAAAAATAGACCTGCCGGCTAGCAAACAGGAGGTCTTCCTGACTCTCCTGGGCCAACGGAAAGTCTGGGGTTAGGAGGGCAGAGATAAACAACTGCTTCCTCCCTCCCAACCTTGTGGCATGGAGGGGTCTGGTCCTGCCCTGTGTTGCAGCTGGAGCGGGGGTGGGGCCTTCCCAGAGCCTTGGGAGTCTAGGCAATTAGAGGTGGGTGGGTGTCTAAGGCTGGCACTCTGAGCTCACACCCATCACCTCACCTGGAAGTGGAAGATCCCCGCGTAGTTTTCAGTGAAACTCTGGTCATGTGGGATAACTCGGAAAAGCAGCCGCTCGTTCAGGGTCAGGCAGGCAATGGCCGCGAGAAACCAGCAGTCCCCTGCAGGCAAACACACCCCAGGTTTCATGGGTCTGCCCATCCCGAAAGAGCAGACTTCACATTAGCCAGCTACGCCTGATGCTGAGGAACTGGGATTCTCTTAATGCTCTGTTTTGCTTCCAGATCAGACCTTACAGAGGCATCAGCCCATCAAGGAGATTTCACAGGAATTCCTGATAACAGAACCCACCAGGCCCTTGAATGTTTTCCTAAGGCCTTTGCCAAAGAAACTCAGTTCAATTTTGGGCCTTAACAGATAGGAGCAGTAGGGATTGTAACTAGGTTGTTCTAACATCTTCAGGAAATCCACTTGCCCTGTGCCTTCTGGTGCAAGTTTGCTTCCCTTTTGACCTCAGCAAAGCCCATCCGTTCTCTCACTGGATTTGTTGTTAGGGGAGGCCAGTTAGACAGCTGCTGTGGGGCCCATGTATGGGGACCCAGAGAAACTTTGGCAATGGGATGAGACAGGGACACTTTCTCCTTTGCTTCTTCTACCTCCTGTTGAATTAACTTGAGAGGACATCAGGGAGGATCAGCTGACCAGGGCTGTCATCAGCTATCACTGGGGCAGGGACCTGCACAGCCGCCTTGTCCTCAGCCTGTCCTCCTGCATCCAGAAAAACCACATTTTTCTCCCTCTGCTTTGGGTGCTGTATGCCTTCTGGTTTTAATTGTGTTCGTGGACTTTCTGAAGAGCTTTCCACAGAGCTTGTTTGCAGTCACACAGACAATACTTCTAGGACGAGGGACTGAGAAAGGGGAAAGTTGGAGTGGGACAGTTATGCCATCACAAACTAAACACCGGCTGCTCCTCCACAGGCAAATGTCATTCTTGTTGGAAGACTTTTGACATGGAGCTCTTCTGGTGCAAGTTAAATAAGAGTCTCAGTTATAAAGGCTTTTTTTGGTACTGCATTGTTTGTGAGTATATAGATTTTTCATGCCCAAGGGACACACTTGACACACAGTCACAGAAATGCTTTATAAGAGCACAACTGAAAGTCATGTGGAGGGGCTTTAGTCTGGAAGAGTTGCCACCCCACCCCCCCCCCCCGCAGCACAGGCAGTTAGCACCTTCGTGTTAAAACGACAAAAAGTCATGTTGAAAGCTGGACATGATGGTGAAGGCCAGGAATCCCAGCACTGTGAGAGGCTGAGACGGAAGTGCTCCAAGTTTGAGCCAGCCTGGGGAACTTAACAAGACCATGTTTCAAAATTTTAAAAATTTTAAAAGGACTAAGAATGTAGCTCAGTGGGAAAGCCCTGGGTTCAGCCCCCAGAATGGCAATGAAAAAAAGTCCTGCTGAGGGGGCATATAGTGTGTGGCACACCCCTTGCCTATGCAACCCAGGGCCAGGAAACAGAGCAGTGGCCAGCCAACATGCAGGTTACTTTAAGGGTAATTGGTCTTAAAATCTTCCAAAAATGCGTTAAAAACAAAAATAGAGCTTTGTCCCTTTACTTCCTGGAAAGGCACTTTCCCTCCTCATCACCCTTGATCACTGAGGAGGGGACTCTGTTACCTAGGTCTCCTTGGCAGATGTCCGTCCTATTGGCTCCGCCAATGATAAATCGGGGATTTTCACAGATTTCCTGTGAAACAAAGAAAGAGAAAGTGACCAGGATATAGTGATAGTAGCTGTTTTGTTCCATCATGCAGAGTGTTGGCACCATGTACCTGAAGCTCCAATACTTCACTGCTCTCAGCCTTCAAAACAGCCCCGTGAATTTTTTTCCAGCCAAGCAAACTCAGGCTCAAAGAGGTTAAGAAACACTCCCAAGCACACACAGTAGTAAGTGGTGGGAGCCAGAAGCGCTCCTCCCTTTGACTGTTCCATGTTGCTTCCCATGCGATCATGCTGTGTAAGGAGCGCCTTGAGAGTTAGGGAACCATGGCTCCCATCACAGATGTGACAGAGGGACAGCAGGAAGCATGGCTTTTGCTTTTTCCTATGCTGGAAGAAAGGGTACTCGAAGGAAAAAACAGATCTTCCTCTCCAGAGGAGACCACACAGATATTTAGAGTCCACATGGAACTTGAGTGCTCGGTATGAACCTCACTCACCTCCCTCGCTGGCCCTGGACACATCTTTATTCAAGGCTCCTCCTAGAGCACTTTTCAAGTCCAGGTCCATAGAGGCCAGCAGAGAGTGCTCTTGGTGTCCAGATATGTTATGCTTTTTTTAAAAAACAATTTTATAATTATAGACTCAGTATTTTAGTTTGAACATTGTTATTCACAGGTACAAGAACCCTTGTGACTGGTTATGGTAGCACATGCCTATTAGCCCAGCACTTTGAGAGGCTAAGGCAAGAGGATCCCAAGTTCTAACCTGCCCCGGACAATTTAAAAAATCAAAAAAGGACTAGGGGAGTGACTCAGCCCCCAGTAACCACCCCCCCCAAAAAAAACCAGAAAACTTTGCTATTCCAATGAAATGCACCCCCCCCATGACAACCAACTACATGCAAGTACACTGAAACTCCCACACTCGGGGGTGTCCCGTCCTCCTAGAGGGAAAGTCTTGCTTATACCACTCTTCAACTTTGATCTTACCCCATCAAAACTCTGAATGCAATGAAAGGATAGGTCAAGTTCTTAATTTTTATTTATTTATTTATTTATTTATTTGGAACCAGGGATTGAACTCACAACCTTGTACTTGCAAGCACTTATGCCGCTGAGCTAAATCTCCTGTCCCTTAATTTTCATTTTATTTATTTATTTTTGTAGTGCTGGGGCTGGAACCCCTGCCCTTACACATACCAGGCAATTTGCTCTACTGCTGAAATATACCCCTAGCTCTTTTCTTTTTTTTTTAATTTTAATTTTAATTTTTTCTTTCTTTTTTAAAATTTATTTATTTATTTACAGCATTTCCTTGGTTCAGAATTTCAATTCTCTCCATGATTCTGGTCACAAACTGAACTGGACTAGAACAAAATCAAATTTCCCCAGAAGGTCAACGTTGCACCTAACCATTGAAATTGATTTGCTTCTCATCCAATTTGGAATCACAGAAAGAATCAAATTCATGAACCAAAGTACCACTGAATTCCGAGACAGGGTCCTGTTAAGTTGCCCAGCCTGGCCCAGGATTTTTGATCCTTCTGCTTCTCAAGCAGCGAGGGTTACAATTATTTTTTATAAACTTCCCTATGTTGGAAGGAAGTAAAAAGATGAAAATAATAGGGATGGAAATAAAATTCTCAATATAAGTATTGGAAAATAGTTTTCACACAAAATTCACATAAAGTTTAACACAATGAAAAGTTAGAATTCAAGAAAAAATAATTTAAAAAGTAGTCTGCAAAAGTTGAAAGGAAACCAAAGGAAGGAGCCTAACTGCATATGAAGTCAGTGACCTACACACACACACACACACATAAAAAGTTATTTTGAGTAACTTAAAATGTAACTTTTTGGTCATTGGTCCCTTTTGGGATATATCTTAAGGACAAAAACCCCAAACCTTAAAGAAATAAGAACCATAACAAATAATAATAAATTACTGTTTCAAAATTTTGACATGTATGCAGCAGGAAAAGCAAATAAGAACTTACGTTAGAGTCATTAAGAGCAAATTTTGTTTTGCTCCTAATGAAAAAATAAAATATGTAAAATTATGATAACAATCCATAATGTTAAAGTCAAATTTGATATGTAGCTCATAGTTTTTTGTTTTTTGGTCCTGTTAAATAATTTTCTGTCCCTGTCAATTAAGAACAATCAAACAAAAACAAAAGGAGAAGCAAGAGCAACAAACAGATAATAGAGGTCTCTGAAGAAAAAAGCAAAGCAAAAGAATAGAACTATAGTTCTATTATAAAAACTATAGTTCAAAAAATCTTTCCCAAAATAATACATTTGATACCATATATTTGAAGGGCACAATCCTACTGTGACTCACATGAAAATATATTCTAAAATATTATTGGACTTTAAAAATAAGTTTTTTAGATATCCAGGAAAAAAAACCAAACAAAAACAAGTGATTTCTAAGAAGAAAACATTAATTTATCACTTTTCAGTAGCAGTGCTTTATGTCAGGAGAAATTAAAACAGTATGTTTGATACTCAGAGAAAGAAATTGTGAACCAAAGATTTATAAACAGCAGAAATTTCAAATATAAAGGCTGTGGGTAACCTGTTTCCAAAAACGGGAGAATTCAGGAAATGTTCTGTGAGCTCCTCTTGGGGAATCTGCTAAGGAATGATCTCCAGACAACCCGAAGCGGAGGATGTTGACCCAGGATTGGAGCAGCTAACACGGTACAGTGTAGTTAATTGCAGAATTAAAATTAAATGACGGTCAAAAGGGAGAACATATCATATGTAGTATTTTGCATGTGATATTCAAGTAATGCACACGCTTTGAAAACTGCTTTACGTGAGGAAAGAAAAATATACAAAAAACTTAAATTACTTTTAGGAATTATTTTGGTAGTGATATTATTAATATTGACATTCTGTAGCTCATGCAGACAAACAAAAGTTGAGGAAACTCATTGTCAGCATATTGCTGGAAATATTAAAAAGAAGTTCATCCAGGAGAAAAAAATAATATGAGAAAGAAACTTGGGTCCTTGTAAAGAAAAAATATGGAGGAAAGAATGAAAGTAAAATAAAATAATTTATTTTTAATCTAAAAGGTAATTCTGTTAAAAGTAATAATAAGCTGGGGGTGGTGGCGCACTCCTGTGATCCCCGCATTCAGGCAGGAAGGTTGCAAGTTCAAGTCCTGCCAGGGCAAATTAGTAAGACCATATTTCAAAATAAAAAATTAAAAAGGAATGAGGATGTATCTTGGTGGTGAGGCATCTTGGATTCAAAACTCAGCAATGGAAATTTTTTTTTTAAAAAACAGAGAGACATTGTATAAGAAAAAGATCAGTTCTCAAGAACACGTATCTTAAACTCGTGTGCACTTAACAGAGTGTCAAAATATATCAGGCAATCTGTATGGCGCACACATGTAACACCAGCTAACGGGGAGGCTCAAGCGAGGGGATCACAGGTTTGGGCCACTCTGGGAAACTTAGTGAGACCCTGTCTGAAAATAAAATAAAAAGGGCTGGGGATTTGGCTCAGTGGCAGACTGCTTGCCTAGCATTCTTTGAACTCTGGGTTCAATTTGCAGCAACACACAGAGTGATAGAACTGACAGGAGGAAGAGACAAATCCACTATCGTAGCTGGAGAGCTTCGCCACCCCTTTTCCTGTAGATCAATAAGACAAAAACTCAATGAGAGTATAATAAGCCCGAATAAGGCTATCGATTAACTTGATCACGTTACCATTACTTAATAGTCTATCCTAAAACAAAAGAATCAGCAGTCTTCTCAAATTCTTTTGTAATGATCACTGTGATAGATCACATTGTGGGCCACCACGCACTCTTTAACAAGTGTGAAAGAGTAGGAATCATACAAAGAATGTTTTCAGAACACAGTAGAATAAAACTAAAAATCAACTAACAAAGCAGCTGAAATTATTAGGAAATTAAACATCATGCTTCTAAGTACACATAGGTCAAAAAAGAAATTCTAGAAGAAGTTAAAAATATTTTGAATGACATGAAAATAAAAATACAGCATCAAAATTTGTAGAATGAAGCGAAAGCAATACTTAGATGGAAATTGATAATGTTAAATATATCATAAAAGAAGATCTGAAATCAGTGGGGACTATTAAAGCTTTAGATGGTAGAAAAGAAGAAATTTTAAACCTAAAGAAAATAAAAAAATTGTTATGAGTTCAATCCCTGGTACAAAAATAAATAAAAAAATTAAAAGTTAAAGTATAAATTAATGAAATAAAAAACTGAAATAATAGAAAGTCAATAAAAACCCTAATGATTCTTCAGAAAGATCCATAAAAATGTATATACTAGGCAAGATGTATGGTGCTTTAGCTATGCTCAATGAGGAAAAAAAGAGAAAACACAAATTACTAACATAAAAAATGTAGTAGTGGTTATCACTGCTGACTCCATGTCACTATAAGGATGATCAAGAAATACTATAATTAGACTCCTGCTCATAAATTTGAGAACTTAGACAATATGGACAAATTTCTTGAAAGATACAAACTGCAAAATCTTACACAAGGAAAAACAGATAATGTGAATAGGGAGTACCTCTTAAAGAGATAATGATTAACAACCCAGCCAAAAGGAGAGCAGTAGACCCAGACGTTTCCCTGGTAATTCTACCAGATTCAAGAAAGAAATGCTGTAAGTTTACCACAGTATCTCCCGTGAGTGGAAGCCGAAGGATCACTGCCATAACTGAGTCTATGAAATCGGCGTGCCCTTTGTACTCAAGCCAGAAAAACAGTGCAAAAAAAGGAAAACTACAGACCTATGTTTGCTATGGACAAAGAAAATCCTCAGCAAAGTGTTAGAAACTCAAATATGCAAACACAATTACACTCCATAAGTAGTTCATTCCAGTTACACAGGGTGGATTTAATATTCAAAAATCAATGTAAGTTACCACATCAACAGGCTAAGGAGAAAAAAATGATATGATCATAATGATCAGTGCAGAACAGGTATTTGACACTTCTCAATGCCCATTCATGGTTTAAA